AACAGTTTAAAGTTCAGAAGCCATGCAGATGAAATACGTCACTAAAGGACACCAGAGGAAAGTGAAAAGTACACCTGCAGAACATGTAGTTTCTCTGCAGTATGTTGTCTCTTGTTCATTCATCCAGGAAAAATGTGGTTTGCGAACAGCGCCTTTCCAGTTTCCAGTCCTCATTAATAAAGTGGACAGTTAGATTTATGCAGCGCTCTGTTGTCCAGCTGCACCACAAGTCCCTTGTTAGTGCATAAAATCCCACGTGTGACAGCTTGATTTCAAATTGCACCTTGAGTTTTTTTATGCAGCTGTAGGATGGCAACTTGTAAAATAAAAATATTACATACTGTGTCTGAAGTAACCTTATCCGGTTTTAAAAGCCCTCTTTGTTCATTGTGATCACATCTTTTTGAAGGTTAAAACTTATTGCCCCAGCGATTTCGCTCTGCTGTTTGTAATTTTTTGTTTTCGTGGGGTGCAGCATTTTTTAGTTTTAGATTGCATCCAGATCTGACTTTGCACGTTCCATACAGATGTTTAAGGTGCTAATTTAAAGGTTAAGCAAACCAGTTGTGTTGCCTCGCGTGGCGGCAACAATTGCAAGAGAACAATCGACAGAGAACTTGTTTTTTAATCAGCATCGTCCTCTGTGTTAAGTATTTCCACACAGCTGACGTTGCATTTCTTCCTTGTCAGTGTCTCTCAGCTTGTTCCTCGCTCATTTTGCTGAACACATGTGTAACCTGCATGTCAACAAACTCGCAAATGAGACCAGTGTATGTTTTGTGTTTGAACCAAGCAGCACATGATGCGTTTGAGTTGATTTTTTTAATGTATCTGACTCTGAATCATGTAGATGTGAGCTGTGCTGATTTTAGGTGTTCACAGGTTCTTGCAGAGTGTTGCAGCGTCAGGATTTTCTCAACTGCAGAGTTCGTGTTCGTAGCTAAAGACTGATGTTAAAAAGAAGTGAGTTTACCAGACCTGTGCTCCTCAGCTCTGCTTGGACTCGACAGCTGGAGTCAGTGCGAGTGCTGAATTAGCTTCCTAAAGCACGACACACACAGAATCTCTAACCAAACTGTTGGCGATGGACTTGCATTGTGGGTAAAGTAGACACCAGGTTTTGACAAGTAAAAGTGCTGATTCAGTGAAATCCTTTTATGATTCTCTTCACTGAAGTTGAGGTGTTGTTGGCTTACACGTGTGTAGTTTGTACAACACGGTGAACCAGAGACAGCAGATAAAAATGTAATTACAGCTAAAATAATTGAAGGCGATTTGGTGGCAGAGCATTTACTGTGACATTTAGCTCCTCAGCTGTGCTCAGAATGCATCAGAATCGGCTTATATTTCCAACTTTGAGGAAAAACAACGACCAAACAGACAGCATTTAAGTTAAAGAATGGAAAATATTTACTATATTATTTCTTTCTTGCTTGTAATGACAAAAAAAATCAGGCTGAGATTCCAAAATAACGAGGACGGATGATCAGAATGAAGAAAGCCTGAACCGTTGTTTGTGTTGCTGCTGCTCAGGGGACTGTTGATTGTTCTGATTTGATTGTGAACACATTTCCATCCAGTCGTTGCACCTGCTGCCTACAGAGCCTTATTTCACCGCGCTCCAGTACAATGCTCCTTTCTGCCTGACTCACCTCGGCGCAGTCATGCTCTCTGCAAACGTGACCTCCGCTCGGTCAATGTTTGTCCTGAAGGACTGTAAGACTGTAGTTCCAGACCTACACACAGTAGACTGTAGATGCTGTGTTTGCACTTATCTCCCTCAGGGGCCCCCGCACACTTTCAACAGACTCCTTAACACTTAGAGCTGAATAATTAAAGGCTCCTGGTCATAAGAAGTTCAGGATTCTTTCTGTGAAGTACAGAGGGGGGCTGTTAATTCTCTGCAAACTTCTGCGTTAGCTTCTTATGTTGTTGCAAAATGAACTTCAGTTGGTGTTTGTTCCGACTTCACAGAATTTATTTGGTGATTGTCAACCCAAGGAGTGTAGCTCTGCACGGCGGTGATAATGTTTTTTACCCGACCTGACCTTTGTTATCGGTGATGGTTTGTCCCAGTGTCTCTCAGAAGTCGATGAAGACTCCGTTAAAGCTGCGTATGTTGTTCTAACACACAGTGGACTCTTTGTTTTGATGCAAAGATGAGCTCAGCTCAGATAAAATTGATATTAAACCATTAATTTCCTGTGACTCACACATGCACATTTAAGTATCTGTGTTACTAGGAGGGGTGACAAAGGTGTGACACGCTTTGTGGTTGGCAATAAATGCTTTCCTTTCTTGTTTCTGCTCGTTTGCCTTCATTAGCTTGTTGAGCTCAAGCTTCAGACTTCTGAACTGGACTTCCAGGGTTTTCTCTTGCACAGAGGGAAATTTGGTTTCACCCTCAAAGCAAAAATCATTGGTATCAAAATGATAAGAATTGAAAATAAAAATGGAAATTAATATTTTTTAACAAGTTTTATTATTCTGGGTTTTCCTTTACTCATATTTAATAGACATTTCTCTTTACCAGATAGTCTAAAATAAAAGGAGAATGCACACTTCTGCCAAATAAGCAACACAGACTCTTGACTAAACTATGTGGACAAATCCTGTTCACTGTTGTGCGCTGTCGCCTCTCAAAGGCCCATTGTGAGTCAGGACAAACCCTGCTTTTTTGTCCAACAGATTGACTGCAATATATCATTATTTCCATCACTGATTCATTCAAAAAAGTTATTTGATTTATTTATTTGGGCTATAAAGCTGTTGTAGTTTCTCAGAGTTCAACGAGACGTCCTCAGATTGCTCCAGAACAACAGTCAGACCCAATAAAATTCGACTTGGACTCAAATAAAAGGAAGAAAAGCAGCAAATCTTGTGAGCTTTTCCTTGATAATTGTCCAGATTCATTGTCAGTCTTGAGCTTCAGCTAATCTATTAGTTGATTGACAGAAGAATTTTGTCAATTGAACAGTCTTTGTAGTTATTTTTTATGCAAACATTGAGCTTCTTGAATTTACAGATTTGGTGCTTTTTGGACTCTGTTGGAGGAAACAGGACATCTAAAGACATTACTTTAGATTGTGATAAATTGTGGTGGGCATTGTGATTAAGAAGGTGAAAATTAAGATAGATGTAGATTTCAGTTTTTAAGAGACACCTTCTTTGTCATATGGTTGTTTTCTAGGCCTTTAAATTCCTGCTGGACTCTAAAAACCTTTTCTGAAACCTTGTGTGATAAAAACCCAGAACTCTGCTGCTGTTGTTGCCGTTGTAGCCTCGTCTCTCGTTCTGTTTCTGGTGATGTCCCTCGACGTGATCGCCCTTAAGGAGCTTACTGGGATTTGCTCTTTGGTGTAAACTGCTCCCCGTGAGCTGCTTTAGCTCCGTCGTATCACTGAGTCTGTTGCATCCACAGCCAAAGATGGCAAGAAGCAAAGACCTCCGACTTTAGGACACGATCCAAGCCGACACAATGAAGTGAGCCTGAATGCTCACCGGCAACTATAATTAGAGCTGGTCGCTGTATTTTAATGAGGAAAGCTGCATTTAAAGGTATTAGAAGACAAGCCTTTTAAAACATGATGTTTTCTGTGAAGCTTCTGCAGATAGGACGTTGACAAAAAGTAAGAGAGAACTGATTGTTTTTAGTTTTAACAAATTCCGGTGTATCTAAAGCAGACGTAGAAGTAAATATACAAATCTTTTTCTCTGATGTCTTGTGAGTTTTCATGTGTTTTAAGGATTGTTATGTAGTTAAATGTAGCTTTAACTGACTGTGCTTGTTTGAGACATGATGTATTTTTTTTTGATATATGTTGTAATTACATTTGTATTAATGTTGGATTTAACTTCATTTCTTCCTTATTTTCAATGAGTGACTTGAAACCTTGCTGTCATTACTGTTTAACTGTTGAATTTTGTAAAGCTGAGGAGAATTAGCAACCATTGCAGTGGAAGTTAATGTCGATTCAATTAAATGAACCAGAAACAGCCACATAAGTTAGCTGCAAGGTAGAAGTATGTATAAACAAGAAAAAAATAGGGAAAAAAACTCTTCTAAACAGCCTTTCTGCTAAAATGATACACTTTTCAGTCACATCACATGAAGTTAATCAACCACAGACTTACTGAATGTCACATCTTTTTTTTCATATTTCCAAGAAATATGTGAAACATTTGCTATTTTTTTTAGCTTCTCAAGTGCTCTTTTCAACCATTTGTAGAATGAGCCCCTGTTAGATGGATGTAACCATGACTTGAGGACGTCACTGGGCTCTGGGAATTTCACTGGTCTTTTTACACTTGTTTCTCCAGTGATTTAAAGACTTAAGTAATCGTTAAATTGCTCCTTATGAGTCTTCATCTCCTGAATGGTTTTCATTCACCAGACCTCTCGGATCACTTTCTTACGATCAAAGAATGATCTCTGCTGTTTGCGATTCGTCCATATTTCCTTCATCAGTTTCCTTTTTTTCCCCAGAGTCAGTCAGTGTTCTCCCATTTTGGACTCATATTCTAGTGGTTTTGTTGTGTTTTGTTTTGTTCAAATAAACAGTTGTTGATGCACTTGCTTGCAACAGCAGACAGCACAGAAAAATGTTGGTATTGTTTTTTAGTTTATCTGAGAAGTAAATGGCAGCAGTTTATTCAGCAAAGGGGAAAGAAAAGCAGCCACAAAGCGTCAGATGATGCACTGAGAACCTACCTGCTGCAGGTAGATAAGACTAGTATTGAAAATGTTAATTAAACTGAGACAAACAGCTCACTCTGGGACATGAAACAAGCTCTTCTGTGTGTAATCTTGGGATTTATTTATTTTTTTTGTCATTCTGTTCAGTTTCCCTCACAATGTGTTTTACACCAAAATCCAAATTATTTAAAAATGTAATCTGTTGTTTTCCTGCTTTCAGCTCCACGTGCTGCTGAAGCCCGATGGTTTTTATGCAACTGGTGTTCATTAATGTAATGTCGAAACATCTTTTGTGTTCCCACAGAGTCGACCGGCCCGGCCAAGGTGGTGAAAGCAGGGAACCCACCCAAAGCCAGACGTGGCGGAAAGGTAATATTATCTCTTTGTGCATCAAATATTGAGCAACAATCCATTTAAGCTTTGTTAATAGTCACAAGGTGCAACAGGACCAACATGAATCCTATTTGTTGTTCTATAAAACAGGCATACAGAGAAAATTACACTGAAAAAGTAATGTTATACGATGGTAACAGCTTCAACGGTCTCTTGGATTTGCTGCTGTTGGGTGCTGAAACAACAACTAGAAAGAAAAAAAGCAAAAACAAATCTATAAATTGTGCATCAGCCAAAAAAAGTCCATCCCTGTTCTGAAAGGAAATTGTAGCTCATAATATCTCCTCAGAGTAAAATACTGTGTTTTTAATACGCAGACTGTGATGAACAAAACATGGATTGTGTCTCCAGGTCAAATTTTGAAATTCCCCAGTATATTTGCTAGCTATCAGTCAAATCTGTGCATACTAAGAATTGTTTCCAGTTCACATCACTTAAACACATTAGTGATGATAAATAAAGTATTTTTCATTTCATTTCATCACTAATGTGTTTAAGTTTATTAAGTCAATTGTCAACTTTGCCATGAAGCTCCCAGAAGAAAAAGAAAAACAGTTAGATGTTTCTATGTGTAGTAAATATTATTTAGATATAACGTGAATGTAAAATTTAGAGCCATTAGTTGGCCTAATGAGAGAGTAGTGCTGAAATGTAATTCCTAAAATGTTCAAGTATTTCCTGCCACGATCTAAGTTGCTGTACTGGATCTACTGCATCACTCTTTGTATTATTATTGAGATGAGATGAACTTTATTGTCCCGAAGGAAATTTGGCTAAAAATGCCAGATGCAGCTGCACATATGCAACAAATACATAATAAGCACAAAAACAACCACGCACGACAACATCAGACAACAAAAAGCGCTTCAAAGGGTAAGAATTGTGTATTATTCCCGTACATATTCACATGTATTGCCAGTAATACACCAAAATACTTTGATTGCAAATTGAGAAAACATTTCAGTAATTACAGGCCCAGTTCAAACAGACTATGCTCATTAGACAGCTCAGTTCAGGTATGTGTGGTCACAGTTTTTATCTGTCACGCCTCGAGCCGTGTGCAGCCTCCTCCGATCACACTTCCTGGAATGCAAATGCGTGTTCCTGGTCAGCCAATGGGGCGGCTGATAAAGCAGACGGGCTCTCCTCGAAGCGTTTCATTCACAACTTCACACCTTCGACGGCTCTGCTGTAGTATTCCAGGGCCGACTACCACACCTGGACCGTAAACTTTATGTGTGAGGTGTTGCAGCAGCAGGAGACAGAAATGACAAACTAGAGGGAACACATGGCTGAAGATAAAAAGCAGTGGGTGTTTGACTGCTGGTAAACTAGAACAACAACAATGTGGGAGTCTTGTTGCAGTTTATTTGCATGATCTTGAGTTTTAATGTAGTTTTCAAATCCTATTTCAAGTTTTATTTTTATGCTTGGTTTGGATTATTGAGTTTTATTTGTAATTTCATTTCATTCATTATGTTCTACACTTGTTCTGACATATTATTGGGTGGCCTGTATGAAAGATGCTACACAATATAGTTAGATTACCTAATTGATGATTTGTAGAAAATTGCCTTTTTTATTGTCCACAAAGTTAATTGTTTGAATCAAGCAGACCATAAGAGTTGTTAAAACAACAAGGCATAAAATTTCAAGGTGTAGCTACTCATTGCTTTTTCACAGGGTTGTTTAAACAATAGCAGTCGGGAGAGATGAAAGGAAAATGAATAAAATGTAAATGGAAAAATAAAAAAAGTCACAATTGTGAATCCTGCAGCAGAGCAGCAAGCATTCAACAGAATAGCCCTGCACCTTTATTATTCTTTAAATATTAAATTTAATATATAAATCTAAATCAGAATCAATTAGCAAATGACATTTAGGTTTTGTGTGTTATCCCCTTTTTCACAACTCTACAGTTTGCAGGTCTGTCATTAGCTGATTGAGACACTGAGTTGACATATTGGGTCCAAAGAACTTGCATGCTCAGTTGTCTCCCTGCTTTTCAGCCTGTTCGTGTGGTGCACGTTCAGAATTTGCCTGTTTGTAAAACAGCGGTGGCAGCATAGTGTGACGGCTGATGGTTATTAGAGATAGTGTCCAAAACAACCTCACATCAGTCGGTAACAAGCTTATTTACAGCTTATCCAAACTCAGTCGTTATTAGTCAGTTACACCAACTTGCGTAATGGACGTTGACGGGACATCTCAGCCCCAAACACTGTCACGACTGTTACTTCATATTTGTCTTTATGTTTCTTAAGAACAGCTTCACACTCGACACTGCACTTCCTCGAGATCCCAGCATCGCACCTGTCGAGTGTGAAGTAGATCAGATGAAAAGTTATCAACAAATGCGGCACGTAGACTCATTCATTTATTAGCGAGATAAGTCGTGTTTTTCATTTCTTTCAGTGACGAAACGGTCGACGTTTGAAGTGAACATTTGAATTTGTAGATAAATGTTGCTCCTTAACGCACTCTGTACATCTTTTTTCTTTTTTTTTAAAAAAACCCTCTAATATCCACATCGAAGAGAGTTTCCCGCCTTCATCATCTCAGTTTTTTTTCCTTTCTTTTTTTGCTCAGGTTGGAGATTTCGGCGACACCAACAGCTGGCCGACTCCAGGGGAGATTGCAACGAAAGACATGCAGGTGGGTGTTGCTGCTTGTTTGTGCTGAGTGTAGAGCTGCAGGCTGGGAGATGCATGGAGGACACACTGCTGTCTGTTAGGGACTGGAACCTCTGCAGTTTATATAATGCATATTTTATTTCTCATATTCTTGAACAGCAGACTTTTGCAGTTTTGTCTTTCTGTTAGCTGGTCGAGTAGCTTTTGGCTGCAGAAAGATGGAACAATGATTTTATATCTAGTCTGAGAAGTTTCTGAAACAAAGCTTTCAAATACAATAGTTGCACCTTTTTTCATGCAGAAAGAGTGTTTTTTTTTTTTTTTTTGGAAGTTGTATCTATACAGGAGACGACTGGTGCTTCTGAATGTGTTAGAGGTTCATTGGTTTGCTTTGAATATGCTGTGACTGAAAATCCTCCTTCTTAAAAGTCCCATTAAAATGAAGCTACAGCATCTCTACCTTCTGCAGTGTGACACATTTCCCACGGTGAGGTTTAGTTATGACACAACCAAAATAATATTCAGAATATTTGATGACATCGCTCATAAAAGGGTGTGGCTGAGCGAGTAGTGAGATACCGACTGTTTGTTTAGCCCGCACACATGTTGTTAGATGTGGAGTGGAAGCACAAAGGAGTCGTACGTTATGAGCTTTTGAACATGTAAACAGCATTTTTGCCACCTGACACCCAAATACGCACAGATTCTCTCTGCTAGCTGACAGAACTCACAATTAAACAGTGAAGAACGGTTTGATGCCATTGGTGGAGTTAGCCGGTTGCCCATCTCCACCCTGGATTGGATAAATGAATATAAATGAGTTCAAGATGAGTCATTTAAAGTGTTTGAATGGAAGAGAGAGGGGGAAGTAAAAATGTTCAAATTTAACATATGAGAAATAAATGAATGAATAAATGGCACAAGGACCAGGATCAAAATCTGGAACATTTAAGCTAAAGATTGGATCCAGTCTCACCTCCGTATTTACAAAAGGTGTAAGGATGGTAAGACCTGAGTCAGAACTTGGTGTTTTCATACAGTAATGAGTTGAACTGTGGTGGATTGTTGTTGTAGGTAGAAGCAGACAGGATTTAGCAATTTGTAATAGTCAGACGCTTGTTAACAATGAAGCTAATTTTACTTTGGCGACAACACAGAGTCAGAAACAGATGACGGTGTTTATCAAAGCAGCATCTTAGCAGCTTTGAGTTACTCTTTACTGCAGGGGATGTGTGTAGTTTCTGCAATAGGTATTTTAGTGTTTGTGGCTGTAATTACACGGCAGCTAAGCGGCGCGTCCAGACAGAGCAGTCTGCTCCTGCTGGTCCGACTCCGCGCCTTTCCTTTTATATTTTTTTTAATGTGTGGGTTAAACCAGACTCGCCACCATCACCACCACACTGGGACCTCGTGGAGTCGGTGGAGACGAGACAAAGATGGCCGACATCAAAGCAGGCATCAGGCCAAAAACTCTAAAATCCATTTTAAATTGTCAAAAGGCATTCCATAATTTGGAAGTCAGAAATTCACAAAATCTCATCTTGGACCAAAAGAATTAAACCTAAAACATCCCTTCAGTTAAATTTAGATCTTGAATTAAAATGAGCCACTATAACAGTTTGATGTTGAATAAATTACCCAGTCACATGACCACTACTCTGCTGTTAAGAAACAAATAGGTAGTATAAGTTTTCTAACTGAATGGACAGATTAGTACATCCAGAAAGCTGAGAAACTTAAAATTCCCTCTGTTTTCTGCAGTCCTGGCTCTGATACATGGTGTAATTCTAGCAATATATTTTAAAGATAATATACCTTCCAAGCCTATTGGCAGCTTTTGGGGGTTCAAAAGGGTATTAATGGAGAAATACCAGCAAATATGCGTTGATTTTAGCCCTGCAATTTAATATTTAATGTCATTGTTAACTTAGTATTTTGGGGTTTTGAACTCTTGGTCAGGCAGCAAAGTGTACTTGGTTCTGGGAATGTTTTACTAAATTCAGTCATTGTATAAACCAACTGTAAATGAGTTCAACACACATTCACTTCATCAGTTTTTGACTTTCACACAGCAGAGGAAACAGGTTTATAAAATGGCAGAAAAGAACAGAAAAATAACCAGCAGCTATTTCAAGATCCAAGGTTCAAGGTTATCTTTATTTTCCTCGTGGGCCAATTAGTGTTGCAGTCAGCAGCACACCAATGTGGCAGACAGTTTCACCACATTCTAAAGCCACACAATAGAGCAAAAATATGACGATAAAATAGATAAAATATAAAAAAATCATAATCAGTCAGAGACAAAAGAATGGATTGATGCTTTAAACCATGTTATGAACCCAAAATCGCAAACTTTGTCTGGTTCCATCTTCTTATTGGGGGATTTGCAGCTTTTCTTACGCTTGTCTTGTTTGGACAATTTGTATTTTTGCACTTTTTTCAAACAATTAGACATTAGAGGTGCATATTGAGCTGTAAAAATAGCATGACAAACCCCGTAATGGCCACGTTTTAGCTCCTTCTTTCAGTAATGGGAAAAGTAGAAAAAGAGTGAGATAACAAGTCGTGGTGTCATCTGTTGCACCTGTTGCATACAAGCTGCAGCTCAGATCCACTCAGCTCAGGTGTCCATAGCGCCCTTATCCATACGGCCAACATGCGGAGCCCCTCCCCTCTAAACTTATCCTCGTGTCCCCTACAGCTGTTGGTCAGCTCGGGGATGCGTCTAATTTGTGTCTCCTTACAGTAGCACCAGCAGCCCAGCAGTCTATTTCTGCTCTCTGGATGATAGTGTGTCACTGGGCGAGCAACCCCGGTCACCTCCCCTATTTTAGGCAGCCAGGTCTGAGCGAACATGAGGGAGAGCGCTTGTCCCCCGAGGAGCGAAATGTGGGTCACATCATAGGCCAGGAATAACCCGCGGGTCCGGTGGCAGAAATCGAGGGTGGAGTTTGGAGATAGTGGCCAAAGCCTGGGAAAGGATGTCCTTTTAGGGACCCCCTTCATCAGAGAAACCACCCCTGGATCTGTGCTGCTGCTATTCTTAGGGGGGCTGCAGTTCACCGGCCATCACGTAACACTTGAAGCCATAAATCAGTCCGTGCATTCCTCGGATTATTTCCCGCTGGGAAATAGACACTGAAATTTGATGAAGAAGGAGTTTCTGATTGAACCGGTTGGTGACCTTCAGTGTTTGGTGCTGTGGGTGAACTTTAGTTTATGCAATAGGCTGCTAGGTTGTCTTAAGTTTGTCAAATGATTTAAAATACATTTTTAACTTGGTGGAAGTTAAAATATACACTGAGGTGACACATTTTGTGGCATGTTAGTTTGGCAAAAGAAATTTTAGATTTGTGTTTTGTGGTGTCACTATTAGTAGATTAAATAATAGACAAGGACAGTTTTAATAATCATCCAATAGTATATCTGCCTTAAAGTTGTTGCTTTTCTCTTTTTTAAATGTAATTTTAAATTGAAGTGTTGGTGTTTAGACTGTTGGGTTTAAAAAAAAAAAAAAAAAATCAACTGGGAACCTTTTAATTTCTCCTGAGCCAATTCATCGACTAGATTTAGCTGATGGAAAATTAATTGTTAACTAATTTGATCGTTAAATCAAAATTCTGGTTAGTTTTTTTTTTTTTTTTTGCTGTTTTCTGTTTCTCAGATGTCAGAATTTATTGCTTTTCTGTGAGTTATATGACAAACACTGCCAAAAAACTGTTTTTTGGGTGTTGGACTGTTTATCTGACAAAACGAGACATTTGAAGACGTCGTCTTGAGATCTAGAAAATGATATAAAGTATTTTTTTGGGTCTGCTCTGGTGACAGCCAGGCTGCAGGATTTCTGTTTTTGACTTACCTGTCTGTCCTCTTCTCTTGAGCGCGTCAAGGGATTTTCTTTATATTCAGGACAAATGTTCACTTGGACTCAAAGACGAACTGATTTCGGTCGTCAAAGGTCACTGTGACCTCACAGAGTATGTTTTTGGCCACAACTCAAGTAGTCTTCCGCTAATTATGACCCAAATTTTACACAAACTTCTAATGAGACAAAATGATGGAGTGATGACATTTTACATCCTAAAGGTCAACTTCACTGTGACATTAAAATGTTCTGCAAAACACTTTTCTGGCCATTATTCAAGGAACAGAACGAGGAGATGAATGCAAACTGCAACTTGACGGACAAGTTCAGTATTACTTAGTTTATTTGGCAAAATGATTAATGGAGAAAATATTTGGGAGATCGATCAAAAATAAAAACAACTTGTGTTAAATGAGCACTTGATGTAGTCTTGGCCATGTTGTGATTTTGGTGAGCTGAGCATTTAAAGTTGTACAAAGCCAACTTGTCTCATGGAGATGAAAGGTAGAATCCACAGTATGTGATTTAACCATATTAATTAGGATGTTTAATCAATCTGAGTTGTATAATTGTAGTTCTACAGATAAGGTGTTTTTGGTATAAATCTCCATCTTGCCTCTTGTTAGCTTCAGCATGAGGACTTTTTCATGGACAGAATGAATCATTGGAGTGACGCCCTCGCTGAGCATATAACCACATAAATAATTAATAATTATAGACTGCTGCTCATTTAATGCATTATGAAAGTTGTATGCCGTGACCTTTGCTGTGTTGATAGTCAAATAATTTCCAGCCTCCTCTGACAGGCGTAATCAAACGGATGTTTAGTGTCAGCAGGTTAAACAGGTGCAGCCACGAGAAAAGAGCCCAACAATCTTCAGAAAAATGTCATAAGAAACTTTATTTATGTAGCTCCATTTAAAGATACAGTTAAAAGGCGATGCCCAGTAAAAACACATTGTAAAAGTAGCAAGAACCAGAACTTCAGATAAAAATGAAATAATTGAAATACAACAGCTACCATCCAGTTGGAAAAAGTCAAACAATAACGGTGAGTTTTAAGAACAGAGTTTGGGGTTTTTTGCAGCAGTTACCAAAACCAAATCCACCACATCTAACTGTTTGTCCTTTCAGTTTTCATCCCATTTTATTGTCCGTTTTTGTTGTTCATCCACCATGAAGCGATTGTCAGTGTCGATTTTGTGCCAGTTCAGTCATTTTTCCTGGTGAAAGTGGCTGCAACAGAAGCGTCATCAGTGTTTTCCTGTAGTGGAATAAGAGTGAATCAGCTCCTTATGAGCTCAGTTTCGCTGCAGGCCTTTTTTTTTTTTTTTTTTTGAAGCGTCATCAGTGTTTTCCTGTAGTGGAATAAGAGTGAATCAGCTCCTTATGAGCTCAGTTTCGCTGCAGGCCTTTTTTTTTTTTTTTTTTACACCATGTTATTGATTCGAAGAGCAAACTCCAGCACTCACACCTAAACACAGCCGCCTGCTTTAATGGTTTATCTCTATCATCTCACACCGTTCTGTCATCGCTAAAAATAATCCTGCTCCTATTTGTGCAGAATTCAAAGTCATCAGCCAAAGTTGTCTTGCAGGAATGACACAGCATTAACTGTGTAGCCGCTGAGACGATATTGGATGAGCTTTATTAAACCCAGAAGGAGCTCAGCAGACTAACAGATGCAGCAGATGCTTCTTTTTATCTACAGCTTGTGCAACATTGACTTGGCATAATTTTTTTTATGTTTGAAGGCAGCAGAAAGAAGCATAATGCCACCATGATGCCGGAGCAGAGCAGCACAACACAGAAGAGCCTTTAAAGGGCCAATAATTGTGTTTTTTCACTGCTCCTTAGTAGAAAATAATCAGATTCTACCTTCAGGGCCTTGAAAGAACTTGGTGGTTACTTGATGAGCTGCTGAGACTTTGTAAATTGACTTTACGGCCTAAAAAACTTAGCAACAGAGCATGTTTCACATTGTCTACATACAGTATGAATGTGTGTGTGTGTGTGTGTGTGTACATCATGGTCCACCTCATTGTCTTCTCTAAACTGCTCTTCCCTCCCTCTGTTCAGATCGAGGCAGTGACACGGACCGTGTCCTGCCCGCCGACTGTCAGGCAGGTCAGAGACTCATGGAGATTCACTGTAAGTTCAACCTGCAGCCCATGACCCTGCAGCCTGCCTGCTGCTGACATTCAGTCACTGCTTCTGATTATGAGACCAGTAACAAGTTCAGCATCTAAAACTCAGCACCACACAAAAGACGGCAATCTCAGTGTCACTTTACTTAGAGACAAACTGAAATATGAATTCAACTCAAATAACATTCTTACTCTGATCAGCTCCTGTGCATAACTTTAAAATGTCCAAGAGGATAAAACAGTTGTCAGACATATTTGTGTACACAGCAGGTATCCTCGAGGCTCTAGGTGGGCGTTTCCCATGGTAACGTTAAAAGATGGCGTTGCTAGGATACAAATTGTCAGCTTCCATGGCGCTCTGCTGACCACAAAACGTCACAGACTGTCTCCAACATCACCCCCTCAGTCACTCACTCCTTCCTTTATAATGGGCACTTAGTAGTTTACTCAACAGGGAGCAGCAAATCGAGATTTCAGACACGTACTAATCATTGTCATTCCATTGTGGAGTTTTAAAGGGCACCATATTAGAGCTCAACTGAATCAATTTCATGGCCAGTACCAATTATTAGTTATCAAGGAGACTGATTGGAACTGATATATATTTGCAGTAGCAATGAAAATCTTGGTGTCCAAATTTAAAATGACACAAACTCCAACACAGAACTTTTTTTTGGTTTGTTTGTGTTTTGCATATGTTTAATTAAAAGAGACTTTTAAAAAGAAATCATTTATCAGTCTGTGTTAAAAGGCCGTAACTGTTGACATGTAATCAGTCAGATACCACAGAATGATGACTGCTGATAGATGCAGCAACAGAGCCAAAGTAGTGCATTTTAAAATTATTAATTTTACCGGGAATAGTTTAAAAATAACCCTGGAATATCTATATGTAAAAAAATAAGTGCCCACAACACTGAAAAAATAGGAAAACAGCCGCTCCACACTCGGTATTCAGACTCGCAAATAAAATGCTGCACAAAAGTAAATTTAGGGTAAAATATTGACTTGAATGACAGCTTTCAAACACAGTGGTGCTGTACACGGTCACAAATGTCAGTATTTTCTTTAGAAACTACGTGTTCCTATATGATATGCTGCATTTTTAAAACCTGTTGTGCAGTAGAGATTGTTTTTGTGTTGCAAAGTTGAAGCGAGATATCGCTGCTGAATCATTTCCTTCACACTCATTCATCGCATATCATTTACTTTTTAGTTCAGCGTTTTTGTTACAGTGCGAGAGGAGACTCCAGTCAAACACAAGAATTATTTCTGCTGTGTTCCTCGAGTTCCACGTATTTTGTGAGCAATGTGACTCTTTCTGTAACAGAGCTGTTGTGTTTGAATAAAGCCATAACCAACATTGATGTAATCAACCCCTCTTTCTCCAAATGACCAAAAAAAACACATTATTTTAACTTTAATAAAGATGATGACACCACAACACAATAGAGTGACAAAAACAGTGACCGTAGTATAAATAAAGTGTAAATGTAGCCTGGGTGGATCCTCGTTTATATTTAGTGGAACGCATTAAAGGACACTGAATTAAAAGGTCAGACTTGTCGTCACACACTGTCTACTGAATCTTAACCCTGCAAGCAACCAAAAGTAAAAAGGGCAAGTGTCAGGAGCAAAAAGAATGTGTTTCTTTAGCTTTCTATAATAATTTGCTGTTTTAATCGCATTCATTTTAAAACTGTTGCATTATTTAAAAGCTATAATTTGCAATAAGTTTTATTCACAGCCTGAATTGTCAGAGTTGTTTGTTCCTTTTGTTGTTGTTTGATGAGACTCACTGTTATCGATGCTGCTCACAGCTACAGTGCATGTTCAGAGTGGTCTTTGAGTTCAGTGCGATTAGATATGTGTTTGATTTAATCCCTCGAAGGCTGCGCATGTCGAGTTGTGTGGGTGTGTGTCCACCGACTGGATGGTTTGTGGGGGAAAAGAACCTGTTGTACCGCTTACTTTCTCAGCTCGAGAAAAAAATGCTTTGCATGACTCCTATGCAAACCCCTCAGGAGTGTCAGACTTTTGCAGATATGTGTGTCGCCGATAGCCGAGCAGCCATAGCACAGAGGAGAGGCTGCTTGATTTGAATGAGCTCCAATATCAGCTCTGTGAGCAAAGATAACCAGGGAAGCCGATTGGTGTACGGTGAGCTGCTCTGCGTCAGTTACTGTGTTCGCTGGAGGACAGCAGCGCTTGTGTTGCTCCACTGCAGTCAAATGTTATAAAGAGACAGAACAAAAGACAAGATAATGGAAACCTTAAAGCACATGCAAAGCCTTTTTTGTCCCAGTCACTGTAATTGTGGCCCTGAGGGGGTTTGCAGACGTTTGCAGCTTCAGCCTGAGAAGATCAAATACGAGCCTGTAACTGTTTGGTTCAATGAAAATGAGGAAGTTTGCATTTACGAACTACAATAATGGTTTATGATTGTATTCCCCCAATCTAATAATTAGATTATTTATTTTATGCTTTCACTACTGATAAAAATATATTAGCACCATAAATTTAGCATTTATAATCTGCAGTATGTACACACAGTATGTTATATATTACAGCTGCAACACTTAATCGATTAGATGTCAGCTATTAAAAACAATCTGCAATAATTTAAGTAATAGAAAAATGGGCTTAAGCAACTTTTTGATGGGAAAAAATCTAAGTTATCTGATTCCAGCTTCATAAATGTATAATATCTGACAGTAAACTGAACATCTTTGTTTTGTGGACACAGTGAGAACTTTATTTCGGTTTTATGAAATGCCGATCACTTTTTCACCATTCTCTGACTGTTTATAGACTGAATAACTAATTGATGTATCAACAATTAATTGACGATGGAAATACTCATTAGTTGCAGTCCTAATATTTGTGCAACTCCTGGACAAGGTTGTAAGGAATAGTTTCTGTGCCATATCTTCTGTTATTGCTAAAAGAAACCATACTTTCTGAAATAATAAGCCATTGATTGCAACAATAGACAAAAGAAGCTTTTCATTTCTAGCTTGCAAATTTAATTTTTTCCAGCTGAACTGACAACATTTGTTAACAGATTTTAACTATTTCTATCTCAGCCAATTTATTTTCAAAAAATATCAGATTTAGGACAAAGCTACATGTCAAAGTTTATGGTTTTGAAAAAGCACTATACTTAAAACTCCCCTGATAGCAAACATCTTACCAGATTCCCAAATTTGGTGCTGAGAAACCCATAGTTGGGTACAAATAGTATTGCACCATAATGCCTGCTGGTTATGTTACTAAACTGTGACTGGATAGTTGTTGTTTAAAGTAGGGATATAGCATGTTTGCATGTTTAACTAATGAAACCTTTAGAGCAGGTTTGAGCTCCAATTCCCCTCTGAAAAGTCAGAAATTAACAAGATATAGATTTGTGTCTGTGGTGCTAATTTCAGTCTTGTTTTCAGTAAAAATGTTAAGTGTGGAAAGATAATATTTACTATACAGGAAGCTTCCTATAATTTGTCTTTTTTTAAAAAGGAAAAAAAAAGGTTGAAGTCTCCTTAGGTGGACTTCACAGTTTTTTCTCTCCTTTTTTCTAAATGTCTGTTTGACCCCGTTTCCTCTTCAGGGCCCCAAAAGGACGACGGCTAAGAAGGAGTCGAAGGAGAAGAGGGAGAGCAATGAGGAGAGCAAGGAGAACCTGAAGGCCAAGTCCGACGACTCGGGAGAGGAGAAGAACGGCGACGACGACTCCCAGAAGAACGGGCCGAAGAAAAAAGGTGAATAAAGCCTGGAAACCTGACACTCTAGCATGCTAGCTAGTTAAATGTCCCTTAATATTAGCATGCGCTAATGTTAGCATGCAAAGAAATATTATGCGTTTCATCTTAGAACTTCGAAATATCAACACCAGTCAATGGCTAACATGCTAAATGTAGGTATTCAGCTTAAAAAACAGCTGAAGCGAAACACACCTGTAGTAGTGACACAAAATGGCCTCCATGGAGAGGATTTTTAGTTGAAGTAGCAAACACTTGCTTTTCACTGGTGCCATCCTCAGGCTGCTGTTTGACCCACAAGTGCCGCAGACGGCTTTTTACGCTTTAGCCATAGAGAAAATACATCTGAATTTCTGCATTTGTTGCCCTTGTCCAGCATTTTTTTTAAATAATACTTGCAAAAAAAAAGGTTGTTTAATTGGCTCGTTGTTCTCTATTTGTCCTCTAAACTGAACCAACTTGTTTACTCTTCATACACTTAAACTTTGTAGGAGAGCACTCCAGTCAGGTTTTCTTAGTGTTTCATCATTTTCTCTTCATTTTCCTGTGTGGGTTTTTCATGGTTTGCTGAATTAGTCACTAAAAAGTCCACTTCTCATGTGTGGAGGATGATTACAGCCACTAAAACTAATGAGCAGTTTAAAGCTGCTGTAGGCAGACATTCTAAAGGTAGAACAAGAGAAAGAACAAACAAAACTTCAGAACCTGCTCCTGCAGCTCCCTGTTTGTCGTAAGTCCCGAGAGAGGACAGATGTATGCATGAGCTTCATATATTCACAACAAAAGTTTGATCATAAGCTTGAATTAGCCACAGCGATGAGCGTTTGGTTACGGTTAGCAGAAGCTAAACTGGCAGCAACAGTCCAGTTTCCTTTCCTTTTTTTTTTTTTTTTTTTTAATGTTGCTTTGCAGTGTAGTCACTTATTACCAATGCTGGAATAACAACTTCTCCCACATATGATCAGTCTTTCCAGTATTAGAAAGGATGTGCAGGCATCTCTGATCATAGAACAGCCAATAGGAGCATCATTCTCTCTTTAAAAAGACCTGTGATTGGCCAAAGTCTCCTGTCAGTGACTATATTTTCTTCATTTTCCAAAGCTTGAAAACGAAGCCAAGATGACGTCTACTCTCCTCTTTAATTACAAAATATTGAAAAGCTGTTTCACAATTTTTGCCCAGTGGCTTCAAACATTATTGCCTACTCCAGCTTTAACGATGGTGCGGATCAAGTTTCCCTGCTTTGTTAATGAGTTTGTGTAAATTGCAGCACTTGTCATGTGTTCACTCCAAATGTGACAACAATGCGAGTGAAAGAGAACTCCTCGTTGTAATAAACAAGTTAGCACAGTGCAAGCAAATGTGCATTAACTTTGTGCCTGCAGCAGATCACTGAGCAGAAGTTCTGGCAGCAGTCAACGGTTTAAATTGTGCCATGGAGTCCGCCAGGCAGGCAGCGAGTGTTTTCTGACCTTCAGAACACTTCTAGCCTCAGTGTACACAGCAGAAGTTGGGCTTTTTGTGGGGGGTTTCCTGCCTCTCTCCTGTAGTCAGCCTCTTTTTTTGCCCCCTGAAACAACTCTGGCATACAGATATGCTGGCGAGGATTTCACCACTGTGCTGCTGATGTGTTTGTCACCACAGGGGACTTTTTTTCAGAATGTGTCTTTGTAGTTTTAGCAGTTTAGAATTCATTAAAACGCATTATTAAAGGGCATATATGTGCCTCAAGCTGATTAGCACAAACATTTTATTTACTTCAACATCGAGCGTAAACCAGTTTTGTTTGAATGAAGCAAAAGAAAACTTAATTTATAGGCTGTTGTTGGGCGATCATCTCGCTGTTTGAACAGAACTTTGCCGCTGTCAAAATATCCGTAGCGGGACAAAAACTATTTTACTTATTTTGTTGTCCTAACTACAGACTTCACTCAGTCGCCTCATAGCTATCTGTAGTTTTATCTTCTTCTTTTTATTCTTCTTGTTTGCTTTCTTTATCCCCTTTATGTTCCTCCTCCCTTCTTCTGCGTCTCCATCTCTTGCCTACACAAGGCCACGTCACTTTAAGCCGGCTGTCATTTCCTCTCCCGTTGCATGTGGTATCTTCCACTAACTCACCCACACATCCACACAACAGCGAGACAACCAGATGTCGTCGTTTAAACAGCAGGTCACTGGTGCAGCCTGCTGGCTGCCTGAGGTACTGCAGGAGACTCTATTTCAGCCGTGCAAAACTCACTGGCGATGATCACAGTTTTTCATAATGACGGTTTACTACATACACTGCTGAACATCCAGCATGCAGCGTGTGCTTTAAATCCATCTTGCTCATTAATTGGTGAGAGTGGCAGCATTTTCTGCTTCCTAACTAGTGATAGGAGAAGTTTAGTGTATGTGCTCATTAGTAAGGATTTGTTCATTTCTATGAATGAAAATGTTTTAAGAATTTAGATGTAGGTGATCATAATGCCTCCAAAATCAACAAAGCTTTGCTTTCTTTGCATGCAGAGGGCTGGTTCCAGAGCTGTGTAGAGGAAAGTGTTTGACATTAATGATAATTATTTATATTTATTGACTTAGAGAGCTAGTTAACAGATTTGTCTTCAGAAGCCTAAAGAGCTTTAAAAGGTTAACATTTACTTGCATGTTTTCAAATTTAGTTACAATTTTAAACGTTTTTGTTTTTGTGGTTTTAAAATTGTAACTGAATTGCGAACACAAACCATGAGAACAAGTATCGGGTTATAAAATAAACAAGCAACGATGCACATTTCATTATAACAGGCTTTAGGTGCCATTTATATTAAAAATGAAGATTTAAAATAAAAAGATATTATTTATAAAGAAAGAGATTATGTTCTGGAGAATAACTTTCACATTTCATCCAGAATTTTTTTCCCAAGATGTTATTTTCTGTTTATTATAGATAGATAAAAGGTTCAGTGTGAAGTTCTATCGTTAAAGAGATTTTTACTTGCAGTTGTAAAGATTTTCGTCTAATTACTGAAACTGTTGGCAAAAAAATACTCAAAATGTATATAAAGTCTGAATTTTAATGATGATATAATGCGAACACAGAATTTGTTTATTAAGAACAATGAAAAATTTGTGTTTGCTAAAGTAATAAATAAAAATAATAAAACATAAGAAAACTAATTCTTCAATTTAAAGCTGATTTGGGGACTAGATAAACAACTTCAGGTGGTTGTTCTGTAACGGTGTCTCGTCTGCGTGTCTTTAAAACAGGAAACAAGCAGAAGTGGGTTCCTCTGATGATCGAGGTGAAGTCGGAGGGTCCGCGGGAGCGCTCAGCCTCCAGGAACAACAGCAGGCAGAACGAGAACCCCCGTCTGCCCCCCAACGCCAGGAACGACCTCAGAGGTTAGTCTGTGATGCTGAGCAATGCTGCACATGTTAGACAGTGAAAGTGGTGACTGTCAGCTGTCACATATTTGAGGAGAAATCCCAACTGGCTGCTTTTACAAGAAGCTTTAAGGGCCAGAAGTTGCTACATGGAGCTGTTCGACATGTGACAGCAGGTGTTTGTATGTAAACACTGGATGTGTTTCTGTAGATCGCATGCAGGATAATGTTGCGTTCAGCTGGTTGAGACAGCGTGCATGACTCAGCAGCAGGATGTGGACAGATCTGTGTGTGAACCTAGTAATCTTCTACTTCTGCTTTGATAGCTTGACTATTTAAATGCGCTCTGTATAAATAGCTTGGTTTCTTACATTCACTGAGGAAATGAAATGTGCCAGCTGCTAAGAACAGACACAAATTCAAGCACCTACTTCTGGTTAGAAAACAGCAATAGAGCGAATTGGCTGCATGCGGTATTAGCCTGGTGCTGCTTGTGTTTGCTGATGGAAGTGTTGTCGGTTTTTGTGCAGACTGGCACAGTCAGAAGTACGAGCGGGAGTGGCGCGACGACCACGACGAGGTGTCCAGCGTGAAGAGCGAGGGGGCGCCGTTCCGCGGAGGGTTCAGGGGTCGCGGACGTGGAAGAGGACGAGGCCGGGGACGAGGCCGAGGCGGCGGCAGAGGTATGTTGTTTTTTGTTATTTTTTCCACACACAGAAACAGATGTAAAACTCTAAAAATACGGCGTTACCACCAGCTTGCTTTTCTTAGCCGTTCTTATGTGGTCATCAAGCTTTTTTTTATGTTCCTCCTCGTTGGAACTATTCTGCCATACAAAGGCTTGTGGGTTAAATGTTTGTCTTTCACCACATGACGCTTTTTTTTTTTTAGACACCAGCTGAATGTCAGTTAGTTAAACACTGTGAAGGAATGTGTGTAACAGTATTTGTACACACTAAAACTCACAATAGAAGGACAACGAGGTCATATATGAAATTTGAGCATCCGACTTGACCTGCAGACGTGCTGTAGAAGTGATGAGCTCTTCATGTCTCTTCTCTGACTAAACATCTGGAGAGAACTTTCACAACTCTGATCTCAGCATTGAAGCTGGCTAGTTCCCTATAAGTTAGTGTTCAAGAGACACTTGATGTTTGGATGTTGTCTGACTTTGAGTTTCGGAGGTTAAACACCAGATTATTACTCTGAACAGTCAGCAGTGTGGCTGCTACACAGGTTTGTGGTCGTCTATTATTTTGATGGTTATGTTGCTGGTTGTAGCAGCACCACAAAGCGGTTTCCCTCATAGCTGTTGTCAGAAGATGTGAGCTTGTTTTAGTACTGCTAATAATTGCAACTGCAATGATTAATCATTTAGTTGACAACTACTAATTAAGTCCTCAACTATTTTAAAAATTATTCAAGGACATTTTTAAAAGAAAATAAAGGCAAAATTCTTCTGGATCCAGGTTCTTAAATTTGAGTATCTTCTTTCTTCTTTCCTCCTCTGTGACAGTAAACTGAATATCTTTGAGTTGTGGATGAAACACCAGGACGTTATTGACATTTGTCACTATTTTCTGACGCTTATAGACCAAACAACTTATTGACTGACTGAGAAACTAATCGGCAGTGTGAGTTGGCAGTATCAGTTACAGTCCTACTTTTAGTGGTTGTTTACTTGTTGTGTGTTGACTTTAGTGCAGACTTTAACTTACAGTGGAACTTCCTCTGAATGTCCTCTGCAGCAGATTCTTCTGTTTTTCTTTGTTTCTTCCTTATTTCTGCTCAAAGTGAAACACAATCGTTCTCTGTCTTGTTAATATTTTGAGGATGCAGCAATCTTGCATGAAAAATCTTTCATTAAAAGCAGTTTGGGGTTGAATGTTTGCAGTCACCGAAAGCACATATAAGCTAAAATATAAAACATATAAACTAAATATCTGGTGAATGACCTGCACTTGGCTGAACAATATGCCAACAAAAATTAATCATGTTACAATTGCAATACAAATATGTATTTTGATGTAAATAGTATGTTTTTCTATTTCTGTCTTGCTGCAAAAAATATTAAAATGATGTGATATTTTGCTACAATTTGTACTAAACTTGTAGATTATGATTTATAGGCTGATGAATCTCTGTAGCACCACAACACTTCATTTACGATAGTGTTTTGTAACTTAATTTAGCTTTCTCTAAGCATTTCAGCACCTGCAAATGTGGATATTGCAGTTGGATATGTTGTTTACTTGGTAACATTTCAATTAATTGTTCAGCAACAACTTAGAGCTGACATTGGGAATAACATGGACTCATGAACAGAAGGTCCCAGTGATCAAACCATCACTTCTCCCTTTAGGGGGCAACTAACTACCTGCCAGTCAAATTAAATTATTTCCGGCGTCTTGCTAAAATGCAGGCAACAGTTTGCGCAACTTAACAAAATCAAACATGTTTAGACCATGTGGCCCGAGGCTGCTCCCAGACTGGGTGGTTGGTGAATCTGATCGGCTCCACTGAAGCTGCAGTGAAAACTGTGCAGCAACAAGCGGAGAGTGTTGGAATGAGTAAAAGCCTCATATCCAGCAGGAGAAGCAGGTTTCCCCGAAGGCCTGTTGGTTTTGGCAGGATTCTTCCTCTCGCCGCCCTGTTGTTCACTCTTTTCATACACGTTGTCGTCTCTCACTTTGCCCCCTTTGCTCGCTCCTCCTTCGCTCACTTTCTTGTAGAAGAGAAAACACTGGTAAGTGTTAAACTTTATGAAAAGGACGGAGAGTGTGACAGAAAACCAAGATTACCCAGAGGAAGTTTTTAAATCCACTAGTCTTGTCTCCTTGAGGTTCTGTTGTTAAAACAGTGTGAGCTAATGCTGAGCAGATGTGTATTTAGTGTATTGACTCAGTTCTCGTGTGTTTGTGCTGCTGCATACAGTCACACAACCACACAGTCTTTATTTGTCAGGATACATTCATTCTTTTTCACATATTTTTTCTTGTAAATGTCTTGAATAGCTTCTGAATGGAACCACAAGCAGCATACTGGAAACATTTATCTTTAATTAAATCTTCTCATACTTGTTTATATATATATATATATATCTATAGCAATTTATTGCTTTTTTTTCATTCTGCCGTAATTCATAATTCTTTCTCTCACCCTAACTGTAACTAACCGGCTAAAAGTACACAAGAGAGAAAGCAAGATGCAAGAATAGAAAACATTAAAAGCTAAAGAGAAGGGATTTTTAATGTAAGAAAAATGTAAAAAAAAAAGAATAAAACTTAAAAGTACACAAATCACATTAATTACTGTGGGTAACCAGTCTAGGTAAAAACAAGTTTTCATTGCACACACGTGTATAATGACAGTAAAGTATCTTGATTGTTTTCTTTTAACCCTCTGAACCCCAAGCAGTTTCTGGGCATTTTATTGCTCTTGTCACATTTTTACTCACTGTGGACTCATTTTTCACTGCAATATAAAGTCCTGCACCTCGATCAAAGCAGCACAACCATGGCTAGAAGTACCATAAATTCATTTTACAGAAACTGAAACCTAAAATCAATATTTTTTCAAGTGCCCACTAGGGCTGGACCCGACTATTCATGCACTGTGCTGGAATCGGGACATCAATTTTGACCCCCCAGTATGTGTGATTCAGATTCAGCAGTGATCAGTCAGAAATGTAAATGAAGTGATTGTAAAACAAAGACAAGTGCTTAAAAATAATTTTCAATGCTTCCAGATAGCAAGATTAGAGATTTTTAGTCTCGTGTTTGGATGAGAAAGTCCAGAGAAGAGACAGCATCTGAAAGACAACACAGAAGCAGCTGTTCTCATGTGGCAGCTTCACTCGAACAGATAACACACAGTGGGAACTAATTACAGGCTGCTGTTGAGTTTTAGTGATCTGAATCTAACTGCTTGTCTCTTGTTAAGGCCACTATGACTACCACTACGGCTACAAGTCCTACGACATGAAAGACGGACCCTACGGGCAGAAGTTCAGCAACTCGGTGACCTACTACTACGACAACATGAGCAGCAACGACCTTTACTCCGTCGATCAGGACCTGCTGAAGGACTACATCAAGAGGCAGATGTAAGTTCAGCTTCTCTTTTACTTTTGAAATGTGAACCTGGTAACAAATATAAGAGTTTTCTTTGTGTTTGAGTTTTGACCGCTAGATCAAAAATGCAGACGTGCTGTAGAAGTGATGAGCTCCTCATGTCTCTTCTCTGACTAAATATAAGTGGAGAGAACTTTCACAACTCTGATCTCAGCATTGAAGCAAAACAAGGCGAAATAACACAAACTTGCTCTAATTTGACATTTGTGATATGAGTTTGTGCTTTAATTCGACCCGTGCATTGATTCCCTCTCTTCACTAAGGCTGTTTAGCAGCTGGTGCATCATCATCTAGTTTGTTGAATTTTGACAATGAAGGAGCCTATTTTAGATCAGAAAAAACAGTTGGAGAGTGTCATTAAATACGAATGTGAAGGCGTTGGGCTGGGACTATCAAGCTCAATAAGATCTGCCAAAATGTTAAGACCGCCATTTTTTGAAACACCAGAGCAAGCATCTAGTCTAATCCAAAGGAGAACAACTAAAACCAGAGCTTCAGTAACAATTTAAACCATTATTTCACAGAATAAGTAAGATTATAAATTAAGATAAGTTTCCATTTTTCCAACTGAATGACATATTAGAGATGAGTAGTTAAAGGACCATTGGAAAGTTAAATAACTAATTCTTTCTGTGTTTGCTGTTTCTAATAAATGGTGTCATTTGGGTGATTATTTTGGCCTTTGAAACCTGCATCCTGGTTAGTTCTGAGAGTTAACCGCCCTTTAATGTAAATTACATTCCTTCTTGTGTGAATTGGAAGCTGATAAAATATTTCAATCCCATTTGTTCTCCTCCAGATTTGAAGCCTTCTGATTCCGCCTCTAAATTCAGTTTCTTATCATATGTAGGATTTGATTTTAGTCTTTAGTTTTTTAATTATTTGCACAACAAAAGAAACCAAAATTGGAAGGAAGCAAAAACCAGATTAGTGGTAATGATGAGGCCCTTTGTAATTCTTAAGGATTAAAATAAATGTAGTTTTTTTTCCTATTTTGTTCTTATAGTATCATTGAGAGGCCAACTGTATAATCATCTAACTCTAAATATTTAAGTGTTTGCTCAAAGAAATGTGTCAGACTGAGCTGACATGGTTGTTTTGGAGAGCCTCAGTTTTGAGTGAAGTTCATGCTGTTAAAGGCTTATTTCACTTTTTCCATACACACAAATTCCAGCATACAATCACACTCGGATACAAACATTTGTGTCTTTTGCTCTCAACTCAAACCAGTCTGCAGTTAAACTCTGAAGATAAAGACACTGTGTGTGTTGAGACGGTAGTGTTTTTTTTTTTTTTTTTTTAATCACATAACTGAAGCAGCTAACCGTTTCCTTGTGTGTCTCCGTCTTTGAAATCCCGTCAAATCATCTGTTTTTGATTAGGAGTTCTTTGGAAGGCCTTTGTTTACACGTGATGGACAATGTGTGTCTGCTTCCAGTGTTTTCATGAAGAGTTTTCTGTCTTATTAGTGCGTCCCATGATAAAGGCAAATGAGAAAATCGTGAGGAAAAAGCAGCAAATCACAGCAGCCAGTATGTCACTTTATGGTGGATCATGTTGATCGTGTTTTTCTGCGTCCTGCAGCGAATACTACTTCAGTCTGGACAACCTGGAGCGCGACTTCTTCCTGCGGAGGAAGATGGATCAGGAGGGTTTTCTGCCCATCGGCCTCATCGCCAGCTTCCACAGAGTGCAGGCCCTCACCACCGACATCAACCTCATTCTGGAAGTTAGTACTTTACTTGGACTAATTGACTCTGTTTCATAAAATTTGATCTGAGACGATGAATATGGATTAACAGATTCAAAACTAGCCGTAAATTGTATCACAGCAACAGGTGAATGCAGTATTTTAGGAAATTTTCTCTTGTTTACCTGAAAGCAGACAATTAAAAGGCAAAATAGTCTAGGAAAATAGAGTGAGGTACAGTTCCAGGTAAAATCACAGAAATATATTTGCTCTTAAAAGATAGACACGGGGGGAAAATCTGATTTTAAACAAAAGCAAAGAAAGGTTATTAAGCATCTTGTATAGCAGTGAACAGACTGCATCAGATTTGAAGAAACAGCTGAATAAGAGGTGTTTTTTGCAGCAATAGTTTGACCTTTTGGGGAAGTTTTTAATTAACCCTGTGCCACATTCACTTGCACACAACCAGCAGAGACTCGGGAAAGTTACTGGCCAAGAAATAGCTGTGAATCTGTCAGTTTTTGCACAGAATAATCAAACAAGATAAAAACATGTAAATTGGTGACCTTTACATTGGCTGGTATGAGGATTTTGTGACCACTGGGGGGAGCCAGCCCAGCTGTTACCCTGCTGTTTCCAGTCTCTATGCTAAGCTAACTGGCTGTAGCTTCATGTTTAGAGTGCTGTCAGTCTTCTTGTTTATGTCCCATTTCATTTGTCTCAGTTGAGCAATTCACTGCAGCATCATTAAACAGCGCTACTGTGACCTACTTTTCACGCCTCCTTTTATTTATGATCTGTGGTTTGAGTCTTGACTGAAGCTCACAATCACTTATTTCTTTACGACTTCAGAAAGGTTAAACAAACACATCAGGTTAATTAATTTTCTTTTTCCTCATTTGTGAAAGTCTGTGTGACGACGAACCAAACTCTTACCTAACATGCAATTTAAAAAAAAGTTAGCTTTTTTTGGTCTGGAACAAGAAAAACTGAACTTACAGGTCTGAAAGTGACCAATAGCTATTTACGTTTGGTTGGCAATGTGACAAACAAATAAATTAGAGGTTATGTTGTTTTAAACATTCGGCGGCATGTTGGCTCATTTTTAAGATCTAGATGTGATGATATTAAAAATCTGTTTCCTCGCACCTTGATCTAAAGCTACAGATCACCTCTGAACACTACGATTATGTAGCTGTATCAGTTTATGTCCTTATATAAAAGACTAACAGACTCCTCTTCTCTCCTGTCAGGCTTTGAAGGACAGTAAAGAAGTGGAGGTGATCGACATGAAGATCCGTCGGAAGGTGGATCCAGAGAAGTGGCCACTGCCGGGCCTGAATGTGCCTAATCACACCCACACCGACTTCTCCCAGCTCATCAACTGTCCCGAGTTCGTGCCCAGACAGGCGACCGAGGAGCCCAGAGGTGAGCGCTCCGACCTGCTGTTAGTGAAGCTGCACTGTTGGGAAAGCAAAGTCCATTTTATTAATTTGCTTTAAGGTTTTTAACATGCTGGGGCAGACTTTTAATGTTGACCTACTTGTTCTGCATCATCACTTTGTGGTTGAATCTTTGGTGTTAGTAATCAGATGGAATGTTGTTTGTTGCTGCTTTATCCGCTGCAGGGTCTCCCAGAGCCTCCACACCAGTGCAGCATCGCACCAAGACTGACTCAGACATCTCCAACCTCAAGACGATGCCCAAGGGCCTCTCCGCCAGCCTCCCCGACCTGGACTCAGAGTCCTGGATCGAGGTCAAGAAGAGGCCCAGACCTTCCCCAGCCAGACCCAAGGTCAGCATGGAGAAGGTGAAACCAACCAGAAAGTTCTAGTGAAGATTAGGAAGGAAGTGGATCAGCATGTGCAGCTGTGTGCTGTAGCTCTGAAGCCCTTCTGTAATCACATTATGTCATTATAATAAGTTTTCTGTTGAGCGGTTTTACATTGTCAGGGATGAGTCTTAGATGAAATCTTTTTAATGTTAATATTTCCATTTGAAGTTAATTACTACAAAAACTGATTTAAACTATGTGATTTTAATAATTAAAAAATACCGAACAGTCTATGTTTGCAGCTTCTCCAATGTTGGGATTTGCAGCTTTTAATTTTTTTCTCATTTTAAACTGAATATATTTTGAACATATATTCAGACAAAATAAATTATGTCGTTATACCAACTTGGGCCCTGGAAAACGTGATGCATGTGATTTTTCAGGCATGGCCGCACAAAGAATTTAAAGAGCTAATCCTTCATTAACTGATGATGAAAATAATTAAGTAGCAGCCCTGAAAACAATTTCGTTGTGCTGGCAAGTAGCCATCATTGGATTTCATCTTCACAGCCACACACAGAAGGGTTTTTATTTAATTTCAGTGTGAAACATTCAACTCATCTGTTGTTTTTGCATTTTTGCACAAAAAAACCTGTTTAATTTGTCATTTTATTCATTGCACATCCGTCTCCATTCCTTCATCTTCCACCTCCTCCTTCCTTCTTGGCTGGTTGACTGATGTAGGCCCCCTCATTGCAGCAGCAACAACAACAGCAGCAACAGCAGAAGGAAAAAGAAGATGTGATTCGCTCCCCGGTGCCTCAGCCCGGCTCCTCGCCCTCCCCTGCTACCTCAGGAAACAAGGTGAGTAAGAAAATCTGACTGTTATGTCATGTGTGCTGATTCTTCAGGTCATTCTCTTGAGAATTAAATCTCTTTTTCACAACTAATTTGAGAACAACATTGTTTCTTCTTCTCAAAACTTTGAATTATTTTAATGTTTTTTATGAAGTTGCAGCCACAGATATTATTGTCTGTTAAGTCAGTTAATTGTTTAGTAAAACTGTGAAAAAGGAGTCTCCTGAAGCCTAACATAAGGTCTTAATGTTGCTCATTTTGCCTAAAAGCTCCTACATTCCTCTTAATATTCCATTTACATGCATTATACTCATTCTCTGAACTCCAAGCAGTTTCTGGGTGTTTTTTTAATGTATTCAGTGCAGTAAAGCAAAGATATGGCATAAATCATAAAAGAGAAAAAAATAAATGTTGATTTTCTTCTATTATTAATTTTACATAAACAGGGGGAAAAAACTGGAATCAACATGTACAACATTTTTCCAAGTGTCCGCACATTTTTGTCACATTACTGTTGGTCACAGCTGAGTCACGAATAGCTTCTCAGATGCAGGGAGAAGAGGATAATTTTTGTTTTTTAAAGAATCAGATTATTGAATTTTGTATTTTTATTTTTTTTGAATTTCTTAAATGAGGCATGTAGAATAAAGGGATTTTGATGAAATGTCACAATTGTAGGCTTAGCCATGATGAGTTTAGTGATTGTGGGAAAGTTTTGCTAATTTTTTTAAAGCGCAAACCTGCCATTTACACCTGCCTTTAGAGGGTATAAAACTGTTTTTGCACTTTAGGGAATGTGGAAGTCAGCTGGTCTTCTATATACACACCTCATACAGGATGCTGTTAATTATTGATTCATAATATTTCCTGTCAGAAATCTGTAACTGCAGTGATCAAAGTTCTAACATTTTTGTGTTTGGTTTTGATCAGGACGGAGCAGAACAAGACGAACCGGAGGAGCTGGACTTCATGTTTGACGAGGAGATGGAGCAGATGGACGGACGCCGCAACACCTTCACCGACTGGTCGGATGAGGACACGGACGGCGAGATTGACGACCACGACGTCAACAAGATCCTGATCGTGACGCAGACGCCACCGTACCTGAGGAAGCACCCGGGAGGCGACCGCACAGGACACCACACGTCTCGCGCCAAGCTGACCAGTGAACTGGCCAAAGTGATCAACGACGGGCTCTTCTACTACGAGCAGGACCTGTGGGACGACACGTACGAGCCGGAGTACGCCACCATCAAGGTGAGCACAATCATTCAACCTTCACTGTTTTTGCTGTGGTGCATTATGAGATCTGTCCACAAGCTGCTGGAAAACACACTCTGAAGGCAACACAACCTGCGTCGATACATAACTCAAGACTTCTGACAGCTTCCACGTTACGTCAGTCATATTGGAGGTGTTTCTGCCGAAGGCCAGGTGACAAGTAGGTTTGTTCTCCTTCAGTTAGAGCTGTTTCTGGATATGGAAACAGGACAGAAAATTTTTTTTGTTTGGTTTTTTGTTACCGCGGCTGCCCATTGTTGTATTGTTGGACTCTTTGTGGGACCTTCACGTGCTCGCCGGCACACGTCCAGCGGCGTGTGGAACAGAGGACGCTTGTTTATAAATAAACCCCACATACAAGGCCTCGGCCTGAGGGGTCGAACTGACGGGCCGCAGGGGGAGTCGAAGATGGACGCTCAGAGATCTGAGGAGACATGGTGGAACGAAGGGGCGAGCGTGAGTCAAGATGTTCAAACAGGAAGAGGATTCGTTTTCCGAGTTTTCTAACTGAGCTGTTGTTGTAGGAGGGACAAAGGTGTTGTTTACAGGAGGTGTTCACCTGTGGAAACTTCAGGGTGTGTGTTGATGTGACCTGCTGCTTGTTGCACTCATGTCAGATCAGTGAGAGATATGAGGGTGAAAAGAGTGTTTCTGGCAGCCATGTTTTGCTGCTGCATCTCAGTGTCCAGACTGCTGCAGATCAGGTCTGTGGATGATCCACGTAGGAACATTTGACATGATGCGCCACGTTTTTTTATTTATTTTGTTATTTTTTAATCATGAGATTTTTCTTAACTGTCTGTGATAACAATCCTGAGTTTCAGCAGTGTGAAATGAAGACATTTGTGTCAGAGTTTACGGGAAAATTCTGTAAAAAAAAATATTTATGCTGTTATTACAGTTCTTTGGTCCTCAATATCCAGTTAGAACCAAAAAGATAAATCCTCGTGCCTCTTACTGAAGCATTTAGTGTAATTTAGAGATCTCATCCTGTCAGAGGTTTTCTCTGGTCGTCACATTAACACCTGATCTTCTTATTTTTACAGCAAGAGGTGGAGAACTTCAAGAAGGTCCACTTGATCAGCCGCGAACAGTTTGACTGCTTGACCCCTGAACCCCCAGTCGACCCCAACCAGGAAGTCCCACCAGGTCCCCCACGCCCCCAGCAGAGTAAGGACACACAAACACATGTAAAGACATGTTGGTGCAGCAGATCTTACTGGATCAATGTAGGAAATAAGACAAAACACACTTCTGCTGTGCCAAATATTGTATTTTTTTTTTTACTTGTCACCCACATTTATTGTGATAAACTGGTCACTTTTATGCCTTCAAGCGTCAAAAATTAATTAAATGACACATTTTCTAAATGAAGAAAGTGGATTTAAAATTTAGTGAAACTACTCTCAACTTCTGTTGAACATTTTCTGTCTGAATGACCTCTTATCACGCATCACTGCAACAAATGATTGTGGAAGTCTTTCCCACTGATGGGCCTTGATGTGGTTCAAATATGGTCTTAGAACAAAGTTATTCTGTGTTAGTCTCCGTTTAACAAGAACATCTTACAGTCCTTCACATTTAATGAAGCTTCACTTTATCGAACACCAATTCCAGAAAACATATTAGAAATTCTTATTTAAACTTGCAGACACTCTGCTCTTTGATTCTTCTGCAGTTTAGTCAACAGCTGGGGTTTTGCTGCTCACTGTAGTCTGTTATCATCTCACTGAGGAATAAATGAAGCTATTGGATCACTGGCATTACATTGTCTTTTTACAAGCGTCAAGAGTTTTGTTTCAGTACACTGAAAGAGCAAAACATTGTAGTGTCTGCTTGGAAAATGAAGTGGTTCGAGGATCCATGTGAAGCGTGAACACTTTACGTTTTTGTTGCTTCCTTAGCTAATCCATTCTCTCCCGTCTTCAGTCCCCACAGATGCTTTGGCAAACAAACTCTTCGGTGCCCCCGAGCCCTCCTCGATAGCTCGCTCACTCCCAACTACCGTGCCTGACTCGCCCAACTACCGCAGTGCCCGGACGCCGCGCACACCTCGCACGCCTCACCGGAAAGACCAGACCATGACGCCGCGCTTCTACCCGGTGGTGAAGGAAAGTCGGCCCGTCGATGCCAAGGTAAGACTGAGTCTGGATGAAATGAGTATCCTTTAAGAGAGCTACTTCCTGGTTTTATTACAAAAAAAAAACTAAACAACTAAACTTTGTTGCTGGTTGCTGACATGTTGATTTACTTTGTGTCCTTTCCAGACGCCCAGAAAGAGGAAGACCCGACACAGCTCCAACCCGCCCATGGAGTGTCACGTCGGCTGGGTGATGGACTCCAGAGAGCATCGCTCCCGTACCGCCTCCGTCAGGTGAGACTCTTAAATCCATTTTGATAAAACTTGACAAAAATACTAAATCTGCCAAAATGCAGCTTTTGTCACCAATTGTGATGAAATACATCAAAAGTAAGTCAAAGTCTAGAATATACATGTCATATTGCACTGACTGTCAGTTTTCATTGTGTTTAAAATAATATAGAAGGTGTTAATACATCCAGTATCTTGTCACACAAAGAAAAGCGCTGCGTATAATGTACCAGGAAGGGCTTCGGATCTTTATTCTAGGAAACTATGAAGCAAATAAAACTTGAATTTGTGCTGAAGAAAACCAGATATTTTGTATTTGTGAGTTAACTTGGGTTAAGAACTCGGCCAACATAATATATCTGCTGAAACTGGCTTAGTGTAGATATAGTTATTTATATACCAGACAATGACTAATGACAGGTTGAATACAGAAACCATAAAAATGTCAACAACAACAACAAAAACAAAAGACTAGAAATTGTGCACCAGTTTATTTTTTTAACTGTCTCAATCAGTACTTTTCCTGGTCACGAGTTTTTATAGCAAATTTAAAGGATCTTCATCAAAAACTGTAATTTTTGGGGGAAAAAATACAAATAACCAATAAATTTATCAGAAGTGTTAAACTTGAATAAATCTATCAGAATAAATGTTTCTAAAAAAATCCACTTCCCTTTTGGCTTCAGTATTTTCATTAGGTTGTTTAATAAAGGCCTGACCCTCCTAAAATAATAAGTAATATATAGTTTAGAGCCCTCAGAACAAACATGGGTTTAAGAAGAAGCAGCTTACATGCAACTTACGTGAATCTCTCACATGTAGTTATCGTTACAGATCAGTGATTTCAAGTTGAGGCTTTAAAACTGTAACATAAAGGGTTTTGTGAGTGTTAAAATAAAACTGCAGACAGTGAAGGAACACTCAGGACTCCCCAACTGAAGGAGTTCTAATGTTTGATGTGATTGTGCTCATTCTCTGTTCTAAACTCGCTCCACTTTTCTGCCCTCAGTTCCAATGCGAGTCCGTCAGAGGGAACTCCTGCTCTGGGCAACATCGGCTGCACGCCTCAGTCCCTCCCCAAGTTCCAGCACCCGTCACACGAGCTGCTCAAGGAGAACGGCTTCACGCAACACGTTTACCACAAGTATCGCCGGCGCTGCCTAAATGGTGCGTTTGTCCTTTTACTAGATGTCACTAAAATCCTGCTCAGAGATTATTTCACAGTATTTTTTAAACATGAAGTGATTCTTGATGCTTTTGTTTGTAAGCTACACTGACCACTTACGCGCTCTCCTCTCCACCAATCACAGAGCGGAAGCGGCTGGGAATTGGCCAGTCACAGGAGATGAACACACTCTTCCGCTTCTGGTCATTTTTCCTGCGAGATCACTTCAACAGGAAGATGTACGAGGAGTTCAGGCAGCTGGTGGTCGAGGACGGGAAAGAAGGATACAGGTACGAGCTTCTACCACGGACGGAGGGAGGCTCTGGAAAGCAGGCGATACTTAGATGTCAGTAACAGGAGGCGCGTCTGAATTCAGCTCCTGAACACTTTTCCCACCATGTGTTGCAGGTACGGTTTGGAGTGCTTGTTCAGGTACTACAGCTACGGTCTGGAGAAGAAGTTCAGGCCGGACATCTTCAAGGACTTCCAGGAGGAAACCACAAAAGACTACGAAGCTGGTGAGCAAACATCTCACTGTGGAGGCACCAATCATAATCTATGATGTCCGAGTTCTTCTACGGAGCAGGATTCACTTTCAGACGCACCTAATTGCCTTTTTCTGTCTCCTGATCACAGGCCAGCTTTACGGTCTGGAGAAGTTCTGGGCTTTCCTCAAATACTCTAAAGCCAAGACCTTGGAGATCGACCCCAAGCTGCAGGAGTATCTGAGCAAGTTCAAACGTCTGGAAGACTTCAGAATTGACGTAAGTGGATTATTCTTTAAGGCTTGTCGGGTTACGCACAAACCACCTGGTCATTTGATAGTGTGAATAATAAAGGAAAAGTCTAAAAAACTCTATTTAAGACCTTGAAGTGGTCACTGCTGCTTCACTGACATCTGTTAGATTTGGCAGTTTAAAATGTGAAGTTTAATTTCAGGACTAATGAGGCTTTTCAGGTAAAAAAGGTAGAATGTAGCTCCTAATATTTGAAAAGAAGATTGATGTTGAGAGATTAAATATCAAAATCAATAAAGGATTCCTTTTAGGTCACTTGACATCCTGAGCAGGACGTGTGTGATCTTTTATTTTATATAAATGCTAATAAAACATTGAGCAGAACTGAAGCTGTTTCTGTGACGACACCAAATAAAACTTAACTTATAACTCTGTAATTACGACGATCATGACAGTTCATCTGTCTGCATCACAAACTAAAACATTTGGTAAACGTAGTCTTGCACAGCCAGACGTATCTACACAGCACAATGGTTTGACTGCAAATAATTATCTTCTGCTGTAGTCTGTATTTCTTTAAACCAGTTTCAGTCATCTTGGACAGTGTCAAGCTGACAGTGCAGCGATGGTGTCCCTGTAGAGTAGTGAAGCGTTTTGGTGGAAAATCTGCAATAAAATGGCTAACTCATCCTAAACACAAGCACCCTGCCTGATTGCTGCATCCAGATCCTCAGTTTGGTAGTTTCCAGCTCCGAAGTTGTTCTTGTTGCTTCCTGTAGCTTTTGAAAATAGTAACAGACAAATAGTGGAGGGAAATGAGAAAGCTGCATTAATTACACACCGGAAACAGCAGGCGTATACCCGAGGTCAGACTCAGATAAACCCAGTTTTCCTAAGATGTGTTTGTCTAAAGTGATTGTTTCTGGTTCCAGCCGCCGATGGAGGAAGGAGGCCGCAGAAGACACTCGTCCAGCGGGGACGGTCGCCGCCGGCATCCCTCTCTGCCATCCAGCCGGCCCCACAGCCAGGCCAGCTCCGGCCCCACCGCCAAGGACGATGCCAAACCCAGCAGCCAGAAAGCCCCCGCCTCCACCGCCGACCCCGCCCCAGATGCCAAGACACTGAAGTAACTCCACAAACACTCGGATCAACTCAACCACGTCTGCAAGTCGCCGGTTCTCTCTGCGCCACAGGAAGGGGAGGGGCATCCAGTTCTTCATTCAAGCATGAGTTTCAGTTTTTTTACTTCTTTTTTTTTTTGCCTCTGGCAACTTTTGAGAAATAAGGAGGATAAATAATTAATACGGCTCAGTTTATCGATTATTTTGAAGAACTTTTTGTCTTAATGAGGCAATGAACAGATGAGGTGTCAAACACTTATTTTTCTTTACAAACGTTTCCAGTCCACACGGTGGATGGTTTTGATTTAATATCTTGGATATTATTTTTTTTTCTTCATGTTGACCCCCCTCTCTGTCACTGGGACCCTCTTTGATCGTCACTGTCCTGCTGGCTGGAACATGTTTGATTCCTCGCCCAGATCTCAGATTAATGATTATTATTTCCGCAGCGTGAGGTGCGATTGGAGACGTGGAAATAGTTTGAAAACGACTGAGTATCTGTTGCGGCCCGCCGGTGGCCGCACTGCTCCCGACATCCAGCCGGACCAAAGTGGTTTGAACCGAGCGACATTTCCATCCGCAGGGCCCCGAGTGCTCTCAGTCGAGGGGCTAAAAATGAGAAATATTTGATTTACTTTATGGCTGGACATCGAGGGGAAAATAGTAAAGAACCAAATGATTAAAAAAAAGAGAGAAAAGACTTGTATCAACCCCTCACTTTGGACAAGATCATTGAAAGTTGCCTTATTTTAATGGTTTTACTGCTTCTAACTCGTGCCCGCCACCTTATCGTCGATTGTACAGCATCAAAATCACCCGTATATCTCGTCACCGTTTCCAGCAGCCGCCACCAGGTGGCGCTTCGCCTGCCAAACTGTTGTCCATCCCCCCCTTCACTCCCCTCCGTCACCTTTTCTGAACTGTCTTCCAAGTGTCATTCAGTCTGTTACAAGTCCTGTAATTCTTCCCCGTGTTTGCAAGTCGTGGCTTTTTGTGCTGAAACACGTCAACCTGATGGAAGTGCGTCGCCTTTTCCTCCCACCCGACCAGAAAAAAAGAAGAAAAAGAAAAAACTGCAGCGAGGTGGAGAGTCAGAAGGGAGATGATCTTCCTTTGGGTGCTTCCTGACTTTCCTCCTCCGCCTCCCCGGTCAGACGAGCTGCATCCATCCGTTCATCCATCCATCCATCAGTCGACCATCAGCGACGCTACAGGACTGGAATCATCAATCTGGATTACTTGAAGAAGCGATGGTGATGAGGAGGGCCGTCGTGCTCCGTCGCAGGTGCTCTGGGTGGAGACACTAACAAGGCTCAGACATTTTTTGGCCTCTGGCTTCACCGTTTGACCGAAGTTCGCTCGGCCGACCCGCTGCTCCACAAGGCCTGATCGGGCCTCACGGCTTCCCACCTCTTCTGGTTTCACACAAGCATCAGTTCCAGGCAGGTACAGATGTAGCGCCGGCTGAAACCTCCACGTCCTGCCTCGCTGGGGACGAAAACTCAAGACTGAATTGTTTGTTCACACTCTTCCTTCAGTGTGGATTATAAAGTCTTTCTCTGACTCCAGAACTGATGATATCAAACAGAAGAGTGATTTTTTTTTCTTCCTCCTCCACTAATGTAAATGTGAATTTGACAGATGAAGAGAAATGATTACAGCTCCCTGCTACTTGTTTTATTGTTTATAGAACAGATGATATATTTGCCTTACAAGTGTACGTACGCTAACGTTTTCTTTTTTTTTCTCCCTTTTTTAAAAAAAGAAATGGTCTCATGATTATCTTAATGCTTTTTAATTTGCTGTGTTTCTAGTGTTAAGCTGGAGGTGGGCTTCGTGTCAGGCTGTTAAAACGACTGTGGATTTCAGAAACGGGAACAAAGTTCACAACGCAAAAGGGAAAGTTGACATCAGGTCTTCAGTGTAAAAGCTAAAATCTGCAAGCCGATAGTGTTTCATGTTGAAATCAGTTAACTTTACGCCAAATTGAGAGCAAACATTTCCAACGATGAGCTGTTACAATCGCTTCCACTGATTATTAAAGCTTCAGCCTCCAGTTTTTCTACAAGTAGTTTGTGTTCAAAGTCTAAAAGAAAAAAGAAAAAAAAAGCATAAAAACGATTTAAATTTTGGGGTTTGAATTGAACTAGTAGTTGGTAAAGTTCTGAAAACTAAATCATAAGTCTTAAAACACACATGGAAATCCACATGTGAAAGTAAATGACCTATTCTCTGTCTCTCTATCCTGTTGTTGGTTGCTTTTTTTTTTTTTTTTTTTGCTTCCTTTTGAGGAATTAGTTGGAAAAAGCCTGACACATTTAGATGAAGCTGTATTTGGACACCTGTGCCTGTTTCTTTCTTTTCTTTAAGTCTTTGCTAATAAGGATTCAGCCTGTTTTGATGTTCCAGAGGTTGGATGTCACGTTGTCCTGTCAGTGTTTTTCAGTTTCTTCCTTGAAATCCAGAAGTTGTTGGACATGAAAATGCAAAGTGAAGCTGTATTTGCTTTTTTTTTTTTTTTTTTCCTCTTCCTTTTAAGTTTTTGTTGGTTTATCTTCAGGGAGATTTGGATCAGTTTCAGAGGCGCACAGTCGATGCATCAAAGTGTTTACTGGAGGTTTAAAGATGGAAAAAAACTAAGAGCTACAACATATTCAGAACAGAAAACTCACCGTGAAACCGGCAAAGCTGGACGCAGACACCCCCGCCTCATGGGGGGGCCTTTTTTCCTTGGATCCTCCCTCTAATGTGATTATCACCTGCCACCACCTGTCACTGGACATTTTGGGGGATTCAGGTGGTTTTGGGAGTTTTCAGCCTTCTCTATCAGCATTGAACTGCTGCTAGCTGTCCAAACAAACTCTAGGGGGCGCCGCCTGCTCCGCTCGCCAAGTTTTAAACCGGCTTGGACGGACGGACGGACACTGGAGAGATGAAAGTCGGACGTTGGGGAAGGAAAGGAGGAGCAGAAAACGAGAAAGGAAAGAGAGGAAGAGCCCGACTGGGGTTTGCGATGTTGCTCAGAGGAATATGGCTGGTTATGATGTCTGGAGACTGAAAAAAAAAAAAAAAAAGGACAAAATTCCATAAAGCCATATGAATAAGAAATAACTGTATATGAACCATTTAAATAGTTCATTACATTACAATATCGTAGGCTTGTCATGAGGAAAAAAAGATGAAAACGAGGAAAAATGGAACAAAAAAAATATATAAAATGGAAAAATGTAAAATACTTGAATGAGATCTTGTATTATAACATTTAATATTCATAATATCTGCTTTGTAGGCTGACGTGATTCGCTATTAGTGTTATTTGTAATTTGTAGTAATTATGCTTTTCCTTAATAAAGAAAAAAAACACAAAATGGACAAAAAAACCTCAAAACACCGGCTGCCGTGTGATCATTTTGTTTCGCTGCTTTTGTGTCCCGACACCACAGAAAGAAGAAAAACCTGCATTTCTTTTTAAAATATTTTAATCGTAAACAGTCCCATCAGAACATTGTATGAATCACAGTAGGATTTGCTTTTAGTTTTTATATACAAAAAAAAAAAAAGACACATTTAACAATTGAATGGACATTTAACTTACTGGAAAAAGTGCAAATATACCATAATTCTTTCTCCGCAGAAGACTAAGGGCCTGGACCACGAAGCAAGTTTAACACAACCAGGATCGTCTTTCATTTAACAGTCGTCATAACTTTGATTTAAGCATGCTAGTGTAAAACGGAGGATGTTGATATCAGATGTCTAGTGTCAAACTATTTCTCACAAGAAGCTCAAACTACAATCCTAAATCAATGTGTGTTTAAAATATACACAGAAAAACCAACAGAGCTGTGCAGCTAATATTTAGGCATCTATTGAAAGTGCTGCAGCCTTTTCTTACAGCTTGCAGGACAATTTCAGCCTTATAATCTTTCAGCTGCAGCCCTGGTTGTGTTAAACGGTCTTGCAGGCGAGTTAAGAACAAATATATAAACATAATTAAAACTGGTAAGTAGGCTTACAAAGGACAAGGCTTTAGTGCTTTGATAAGTCTTTGTTTCAGGATTATATCGTGACACAAATGCCTGCAGAACAACGCAATGCTTTAATTGTTTGCAGTCAACAGGAAGAAAATGAAAGCATACAGCTCTTCCATCTTCACACATCGGGGAATTAAAAAAAAAAAAGCTTTGGAAAACCAAACAGGCCATAAATTGTCATTTCTCAGTTGCATTTGCTAAATAAAAATGCAGCATCCAAACTGTCGGGAGCTGGTTTGTTTGTTTGTTTTAAGCCGTGGAATTTAGAAATGACAGAACGGTTTTATCTGGCAGCTTAAAAATGATGCTCTACATGGTCACCGAGCACCAGATTCAGTCAACAAACTGTGTAAAAAGCTGCATTTTGTCTTAAACCAGATGCAAAAAAGAGGCAATTTATGGCACTCCAGATTTTCCCATATTCACCATCTGCAAACCGTTAATTGTGATGTTTTGTTCTTGATGTGTCATTTTAAACACAACCTGCTCCGGAACAGGTGAGCTGATATGTTACCATGCTCCCCATCATAAACCCAAAATCCAGAGTTAAACCTGAAGTTAGCTCAAATCCTGCTTCGTAGTTCAGGCCTCAGCTCTCCTCTGTCTGACTGGTAAGTGAACGCATCAAACAGTCTGCATTGATAAGCTCAAAGTGCTGTTTCTAAATTCTATGTATTAATAATAATAAAAAAAAAGTCTGCTCATAGGAATACATAAATCAGGATTAATGCATGTATATAAAACTACATTAAAGGAAGAACATCGTGAGTGGTCGTCTTCCAAACACAATTACATCACTTTAAACATATTTGTGGACAAAGAGGATGATGTGTTTCATCGGCATGTTTGAAAACCAGAATCTTTACACTGAAATGATTGAAAGTCATTTTAATCCGTCCCACACCCGTAGAAACTACATTTGGAGTGGTTTATTCCGCAGAGTTTCCTCAACCAGTTTAGTTGAACTTGGCAAGAGGAGAGTCTGAATGACTCCCAGCATACAAATCTGAAGTTTTATGAGTCCAGCCAATGAATCTTCCACAACTGTGTGGAAAACATGCTGATTTATTTCCTAACTAGTAATTAACTCCTTCTTTCTCATAATATTCTTTCACTATGTACAACTTTTCAGGTTTTCTTTTCGGGCGTCTTTTCCACTTTCCTTACCAGTACAGAACAGCTGACTGCTCTGCCACACCATCACAGGAGGTTCAAAAGACTCCAAATCAATTATGAACATGGAGGCCAAGCTTATAAAACTGACTGAGATCTGTACGTCTGTTAAAAGTCTAACCACACTTCTGCCGCTTCAAAGTGAGCTGGTGACAACAGAGTTCACAGTTTTTTCTCCCAGATTAAAATAATTAAAATCTAATTAAGATCGTTTGTTAGGCCTGTCTCCCCGTGCCGGGTCAGGCTGCGGTCGGGGGGTCAGGGGGTCGTCACTGGCCCTTCTTGGGGGCGTCGGGGATGCTCTCATTCAGAGGGGTGAGGCTGGTGAGCAGAGTGTGACGTTCGTACTGCTTGGTTTGCCTGAACTTGGTGTCGGTGCTGTGGAGCCGGTCCAGGATGCCGAAAACCCCGAAACACTGGTTGAACCTGGAAAAGGGAGAGACGGGGGAGTCAAACTGGTGCAGACAAGAGGGGAAACTGGCATAATGAAACTCGGACTCCATGTTTTTTATGCCGACAAATGACCAACAACGAATGAACTGATTCTACCGTCTTTGTGTCTGAAATCATTTGCAGGAGTCACATCATCAGATTTACTGATACAGTAATTCTGGAAAAACATGTATTTTAATCTGCTGCTAAAATTACAAATACAAACACACCACCGTTTACTTCTGTTTAAGTGACACTGCCTTAAAACTACAGTGCAATTACAATACTTAGTTTGCTTTATTAAAGAGATGTATGCTTCTTGTTTTCTAAAGGTTGGAATTTGCTTCACTTGATTCTTATGAGGTTCTTTTGTATCTGCAAATTCTATTACACACAACAAAAAGCAAAAACAAATGTAAATTCACTGTTTAAAAATTGTTTGACATGTTTTTATCCTGGTTTTAAAAGATTTTTCACTTTGAACACTTTCTAAAAGTAAAACAGTAAACTAAAAATACCACTGGTGGGTTTGAAATACATGTTATAGAAAACATAAAGTACATAACGAAAGGGGGGGAAACACCAACATTACTCCATTTATCAGGACCAGAAACATAAAGAATTGTCAGTTTTTTAACTTTACAACAATCTGTGAACTCCTCGTCTGTGATAAAAACTGACGCAAAAGCTTAAAATCATGACACTTCATCCACATAATTTACTCACGTGTCTGATTAAAAATTCACCAAAAAGTAAAACATTTACATCAACCAGATTCTGTAAAAAAATAAACTTCTTCCCTCCTCGTTGCACCTGTAAAGCCGTCACTAAGCTTTGATCAATGTGACGATTAATCTGGGATTTTTCAGCTGAACTGCAGGCAGTGTTTACAGCCAGCAGATAAGAGACAAGTACTGGAAAAAAATTTAAATGACACATCGAGCATCTTTTTGTTCCACCATTAGTAACACCTGTGGCCATTTGGAAAAATGTTCTACATGTTGATTCCAGAATTTTTCCATTTCTATAAAATAACCAAAGAAACTTGTGTTTTTTAGCGTGTGAGTCATGAACATCTAACTTTGTCATGCTGCACAAAAGACAACGTTTGGGTTCGCTCTACTTGTAACTATGGTTTCCATGAAGGTGCAGGACTGCAGAGAAGAATGAGCCTGCAGGTGAACTTACCTGAGGTGATGGAAGTCGTGGAACTCGGGGGAGGGCAGGAAGGGGAGGTGGTATCCACAGTGGGAGATGGTGGTGCTGACCAGAGCCAGGCAGTACCACAGCGATGTGGAGGCCAGGTGGGAGTTGAGGAGCACCGGCCCGATCACCACCGGCAGCATGTTGGAGATCTGACAGCAGAGAAGAACCAGTGGGTGTTTTCAAAAATCCAGCAAGTCAGAAACAAACTGAAAGACTTTCACAGTCCTGACCCATCATGAAGAACATCTGCCACATTTGCCTGGTTTAGAAAATGTTTGTCTTTTGTTGTGAAAAGCAGTTCACATGTCATCAGCTAATGTTGAGAAATGTCATGATTTATTGGCTGAATGCGTAATTAATAGGATACTTTGTTTTCATCACAGCTGAATTATTTGTCAAATCAGGCATTTCTCAGCTACATTACATAATTATTTACATGCTTAAACCAAAGACAGTTGTTAGTGATATATAATGAATGTGCAGATGTGATGTAACTTGCAGCAGATCCATTATTCATCAATAAAAACTGCCCTATTATTGAGACTTTTGGTATCAATCCGCTGACCTGTAACTGAACTGTCAACACGTGACTGTGGCAGATAAAAGCTGAACACAGTGAGCTCAGATTATATTATTTTTAGGGTCCAGTTTGTCCAGATTCCAGAGGAAAAATGAAACAATTTGATTTATTCGTGACGGTTAAAGCTGCTCTGTTGCTGGGTGAGAAGAGAAAACGCCTGGATCTCCACTTAAATATTCTCTCTTTTACACATCGAAAGCAGGCGTATACTGTAGTTCTGCTTTTCAATCAGAGCAATAAGGCGAGAGGTCAGGAATGTGACGGAGAGGAAGATGGGAAATGAAATGGAGAGCAGAAGGAATGTCTCACCATATGCTCCAGAGGATGAGCATAGATGGAGACGACCCCGATGGGAGCGGTCCACTCGTGGTGCTGTTTGTGGTAGTGTTTGTAGAGGCTGGGTTGGTGGAACAGCCTGAGGGAAGGAAAAAGAGGCAAAATCAAGTTAATACATTAAGTAACTGCATTCTATTTAAAGCTCTACTGAGAGAGATTTGTGGTTCTGAAAGACAAACTGTCTCTGAGCTCATGAACTCCTGACAGAGTCTGAATTACACTCCATTTAATGAACATGAAAACTAATTTCAGACAACAAAGATTTTTTTGGGATGAAATGTATACAATATATATATAATATATAATATTTCCTAGAAATGTAGTGGAGTGTAAATACAAAGAAGCAAAAAATGGAAATACTCATCTAAAGTACTTAGAAATTGCTCTTCAATGTGCTTATTTAGGTCTTACATTTTTTCCACATCTGGATGAGCCACAGCACTAAAAGCAGAGGTGTAAATAACACAGTAGCTACCTGTGTGAATAGTAAAACAGAACCTCCTCCAGGATGGAGAAGGCGGCCAGCTCCATCAGGGCCCAGTGGAAGGTGGGCAGCTCGGGGCCACAGGGGTTTCCTGTCCAGCTCATCAGGTAGTAAACCACCACCACCATCGGCCCCGAGATGAACACCTGGTTGAAGACGACGGTCTTCACGGCGTGACGCAGCTTAGCTGGATCCACCTGGAGGACAGAGGAGCAGGCAAAGTCACTGGATATGATCTCAAAAATATTAAAACTGCCTTCCTTTTTAGTGACAAACATTTACTGGGGCATTATTACAAATTTAACTGCATCCCTTTAAAACAAACAACCACAAGCAAGTTGAGAATGTTGGAATCTTGTCTGCAAATTTATTCTTCTTTTTTAGTTTTTTAAATATTTGTACTTTTGTCTGTGTTAAAATGTGTGTTATAAATATCTTTTATTACTCATTGTTTACATTCATCTACATCGTGTTCGGTGTTAATGGCAGACTTAACCATCTTATGCACATCACACATCGCAGAATAAATGCTGAACCTCAGAAAGCATCATTTTCTAATTCATCTTCTTCACTAAAATCCAAACGAGCGTCTTGCATCACATCAAAACATATTTATAACAGTCTACTTGGCTTTTTACCTTCAGCCTTTGTACTCTGCTTGTAAACACAAGATGTACTGTGATGACCTTTCCTGTTTGTGTGAGAACAATGTGTGTTGGACGTTTGCACCGACGACCTTTCACCCAGTACATGTATGTTCACCAAAGTACAAACAGCAGCCTCAGAGGAGCAAACCATGTTTATTGGCTGATTATCGGCCAAAGTTTTAAACATGGACAGTAAATGGTGCTGACCTACAACACAAGATGAACTTTGACATGAATAAACGTTTGACTTCTATCATGCTGAAATGAGCTAAAACAACGACTTCCTGTATAATGACATGAAAATTGCATTAATCAATGTGAAAATCTGAAGGTTGGGTTTAAAAGTGGTTCACAGGTTGTTTTTAATACGACCAAAGTGCCACAAACGTTCTTGTGTTACTTAGCTGTTCTTAACTAAGATCTTTCAAACATAATGAGACCTAAAGAATCTAATCTATTGCCATCAGGACGTGATAAGAGCAGTGAAGGAACGCGTTGATTGTCTGGTTCTACAACAACTCCATGTTCGATAAACTGGCTTCACGCTTCATTATTCTCTCCCTTCTTTCTCTCTCCACACAATTATGCACTACCACATATCATTCACTTTGCATCCTCTTATTTCTGTATATATGTGTAAAAAAAACAACTAATCACATCATTTGTAAAAGTCAAAAACTGAAAACTGAACGAATGGTTAGATTTTCAACAATTGTGACAGTCTTTGAACTACTCATCTGTAACATGCCACTTGATTGGAAAACCTAAAAAATCTTATATTTCTTCAAAATTATTTTTTTCTTCATCTCCCATTTACACCAAAGTAAACAAAAAATAAACAGTTTACACCAGATTCTTGCAAAAAAAATAAATAAATCTGCACTTCTCAATGCAACTGTGAAACTATTATTGACTCAGCAGCAAGCAACAAAATGTCATGCCACAAAACTCAGGGAGTGTTTAGCTGAACTGCAGGCAGAGGAGCAGAGAGGGGACAACTAGGGAAACAAATTCCAAACAGGTTTCTTTTTTTTTTTTTTAGTTTTTGTTAAATACTCAAAAGAATTATATTTTCATTTTATAATGATGTATGGCATCAAAACTGTGTCATTCTGCACAGAAGTCCTTTTTGAGTTCTCTCTACTTCTAGCCATGGTTGTGCTGTTTCCACAGAGGTGCAGGACTTTATATCGCAGTGAAAGGTGAGGTCAGAGTGAGTTCAAATGTGACCGGAGTTCAAAAAAAAAAAAAACACACCCAGAAAGGGCTTGCAGTTCTAAAGGGGTTAAAATTGAGTTTTTTTTTCCTCACAGTATCATAAAGTGTTTGCTCAAGGACATCACTGCTTTAGAATCAACGTAGTTTATCTTTAGATTCATTTATTTCAGTGTGAATTAGCTACAAAAACTGATCCTAAATCCTCATCCGACGATAATCAGTCAGCTAAAGTTGCCAAGTTGGCCAGAAACTCTGACAACTCCACTAAATCATTTAAGATAACCAGATTTATTGCTTGATAAAGTGCATAAGCAGTGTTATGTAACTTGTTCTAATCACAGCACATCCTGACTCTGTTTACGACCAACAGGTCTCAAGTTCAGACACGTTTATTCTCTAGTGGACAGAAATTCAATAGGAAACAATGACTCAATATATTACCACTGATAACCTCATGATTGAAAGTATAAAGTTTTACTACTATGGAAATCTATATCACGCTATAAACTGTAATGAACTGTGGGTGAAGCAGTTTCTTAAGGGATGACGCAATCACTGAACTGGCATCATGATAAAAAAAGAAAACTTTAAACCTGAATGTGGTGTTTGTTAGCTTCATGATGTACAGAACAACTTGATAAAGACCAGATGAATATTGATTATTTCTTTCCCATTCATGAACATGTGCTCCTCTCTATAATCTCTGAAAGGTGACTGTTTATCAGCGTTTATCTCTGCAGTGTCCAACTTGATCTGCTGATCAAACACAGCCGAAGGACTTCGGTCAGACAAATACGTGGACGCGTCAGATCTGCAACGCCAAGGGCTGCTCCTGTCTCATATGTGTGAGATGGTTATTAAGGGTCAAAGGATGTTTGTGAATTGTATTTAACTGGACCCAAAGCTGGCAGTGGACGTATGAGTGCAGAACTTGTGGATGAGAGAGTATACGATACATTTATTTGTGAGCCTAGAGTAGGGATAGATCAATTACTGTGACCAATATTTGATGTTTTTCAGAAATGTCTCTCAAACTGAGACTGCAAAAACTGAAAAAGAAACACAAGTCGTTGCCACAAGCCAGGAAATTAGCTCCTCTCAGTGTGGCTAAGGCTAAGCTAACAGCTGGCGGCTAAGTTAGAAGGCAGCCACAGATTACCTTGAAACAGAGTCTGGAAAACAATACTGAATAATACTTTAAAATATGGACCTCAGTGGGCAATAAAAGTGATAGAACAGTGAGAGATTAAAAAAACAGAAGATCAGCAGACTTAACTGCAGGAGACAAGCTGATCAATCTGAGTTGATTCCACATAAACACAGGAGAGCATCCTAACTTAATTACTCCTATTTCTAATTTACATTTTCCATTAGAGTCACTCTTATTAGAAGAAGCCTAGTTATGAATGACAGGTTCACTGCGATCACATGCTGTTAAAACATGACATTTAATTTATATCGGGTGAAAAATATCAGCTATCTGTCTTTCTTGGTTACCAATAATCGGCATTGGTATCGGCCCTAAACAAACCAATAAACAACCCATATCGGTCAATCCCTAGTCTGGAGCTTACCGGGTTATTCTTGTCCACCTGGATACGGTAACGTGTGATGAAGGAAGGTTTTCCAGTGATGTCCACCAACAGCAGCAGAGCATTGGTAAACCAGAATGACAGCATGGGAAGCAACATCGTCCCTGTCGAGAAAGAAAACAAGGCCACCGTCAAAGAAACATCCACTGAAGTTGGGCCTGAAGATTTCAAATCTGCAAAACGGAACAACATCATAACCGCAAACGGTACATGTCTACATTATATTAACGTAGTACACAATGTCTGCTCAACAAAGCAGATCGAGAACATTACACTGAACTGAAGAGGTGCTCTCATTGATACACAAACACTGTATTTCTTCTGTATCGGTAGAAAACAAGACAACATTCGTGCAGCGGCATAATTATTACAACAAAACCCAGTTTGTTTCTCATGGCATGAATTCATGTGTGTAATCTAATTTCATGAAACTTTCTTGCAGCTACCACAAGCCAGACTGCAAAATGTGTGAGCAGAAAGAAACTAATGTAAGAAATCTGTACAGATCCACTTGTGCCCAAGTGTTTTATAACAACACAGAGGATGTATTGATATGAAGCAGGTCATTCGAGCTGCTCTCATGTACGAAACAGACTGTGGAGCTCCATCTTGGCTTGTAATGATTCTCTACAGGTCAATATTGTGCTTTGGACCAGAAGCCAAACTGAGCAGTTTCTTACCCAAGAAGAACAGAGCAGCATCATGACCCTCGAATGCCACGTACAGCTTGGTCCACAAGTTCTGCCAGAAATCTCCCGAAGCTCCCCAGAATCTCTGAAGGTGCCTGCAGGAAGAATCACAGTCAAGTTTCAAGTTCATGAGACTGTTTTCTTACATAGAAAAACTCTTGTTGTCATAAGTGTAGAATTCAGAAGAGGTACGTCTTTTTTCTTGGGCATTTTAAACACAGATATGTGTGAATAGACAGAACATCACAAGTCTATTTAAGGGTTTATAAATTAATTAAAGGACTAATTTATCATCGACATGAATAGGTGCCACGTGTACATATAAAGAGTCATGCAAGAAACAAAAAAGACACAAAAGAGGACAGAAGCGTAAACTCTGCCAACTGTTTGTGTGAATTGACTCATCAGGGAAATATCAAATAATGAAAGTTGATCGACAGGAAAATAAATATTTAAAAATCTGACTGCATTATATTTCCATTGTATTTTGAAATGTCACCTGATGCCTGAAATTTAGCAAACAGTAGTTCAGGAAATTAAGTATTCGATGCTCAAAATTCCTGGGAAAATTGCTTATGGTTCTTCTGGCAGAAACATGTTGAGCAAACTTGATCCCCAAACACCTATACACCCCAACAACCTACATGACTCAATGAGTTACATTAACAAACTCATTTTTAAAAAAAAGCAAGAGTCAAAAAAGTGTATATACATTTGTCTGGATCAAAAAAGAACAAGACGACAATACTTGAAAAAACTACATATTTAATATAAGCCAGAAAAGAAAAACTGGTGTATTGGAATGGAAATAAACGACAGGAAGTAACCTGGTACATCGGACACCAGCAGATAAACCCAATGTGATAAAGGCTCAATACGCAAAAGGAACCAAAACACCACCTCAAACTCCTCGTATGTGAAAACCTACTTGAAAACGAAACAGATTCGGGTTCCGAACACACCTATCTTGTTCAGCTATGTCTTCCTACATCTTCCTTTACTGTGCTCCTATGTTCAGTCCTATCCACTGAGTCCGTCCTACCTGGTCCAACACCTACCAAATGCACCCTGTCCAGTCACGTCCCATCATGTCTTGGTCGGTTACATCTAGTCTCATCACATTTAGTCCTGTCCTGTCCCTGTTTGGTCATGTCCAGTCCTGCCCCATCTCATTATATTATGTTATACCATTTAATGTCATCTCTTGTTCCACTCTGTATTCCTGGATCAGACTATCATGCTCTCTTTGTCCAGGTGCTCAAACCAACACCTAGTAACCACCAAATGATGCAACAACAACTGACAAGGAAATACTGTAGAAACTACGTAGCAGGAACCTAAATTTCTAGGTGACACCCTTCCAAATATCCAGTCACACCCAACCAAACAAGCCTCTACACGGTAGTCCTACTATGTCGTGTCGTGTTAGATCTTACGTCCCATCACACCCGTCACATCACGGGCTTATCTCATTTCACTAATGTCAGCCTCCTCTGTCCTCAACCTGCAAATCAATCTCAGTGCGTCATCGGAAAGGACGTCTCGATTCTTAAAATGCATCTCGAGGAGCCATGAACGAGGACGCACAGGTAACTAAGAAAGAAATATAAAATTCGCAAAATAAAATGAACTTTATTATCCTGTTGCATGTCGCCTTGCCACATTTGGCGGCATCACATTAAGTCCAATAAAGTCCCGGTTCTGTCACGTCTACTCCTGCAACATCTAATTCCATCACACCCTCATCACATTACATCATGTAACTTTACGTCATATCCTCTCTTTAACCCGTCCTTGTTTTCCAACGCCAGCCGATCATGTTGTACTGAGCACTCCTCACTTTTGTCTTTTGTTCACCCAGTCCTCCGTTGTCTTGCCCTTTCCTCGCCTGCAGCCTGAACCACAAAACAGGTTTAACACAACCAGGATTGTGTGTGTGTTTTCATTATCTGGCTTTACTAAACCACACAAACTGGTTATTACATCTCTAAGTCAACCAGTGTTTCAGAGCCTAGCTATGAGCACGTTGTCATAAAAAAGGAAGGTGTTGGCATCAGATGCTAAATCACAAACGTGAATCAGCATAATATAATTCTAAACAAAAAGGAGGAATTTAAAAATAGAATACAGACTGAAAGCAAAACACCTGTCGCTGCCAAAGCCAGAAAGAAAAGCTGGCAAAAAACAGACTGTATAACTGTCAGCGTTAACAAGCTTATCAATATTTCTGCTTTATCAAGGTGCAGTAGGTCTGACTGTAATTACAATTTACAATTTGCTTAGATGTAGGTTTCTGAATCAAGATATGGTTTAATTATCATGACGCATCCTGAGATTGTAAAGCAAAACTACAGGTGTAGTCCCTTTATGCTAAACACACAAAACAAGACCAATTACTTAAAGAACTAATAACAAATATGAAACTATTTTTAAGGTGAATAATCAATCAACTTAAATCTTCTGGCATGTGAGGAAAGTTTATCCTTTCAGCTGCAGCCTTGGCAGTGTTAAAGAGTTTTTGGTGCATAAAATTAACAAATCTATAAACATAATTTCATAGACTTACTGTAAATCTTTTACGTAAACAAGTAGGTTATGAGGCTTCAGTGTTTTAATCAGTTTCTGTTTTAGGATTACGTTGCTTTATGAAAGGAATATAAATATAAATTTAATTGGAATCACTTGCAGGGCTAATCTTATCCTTATTCTTATCTGAAACATAAACGCTGGAGCAAATTGAGTGTTCTGCATTGTCCTGCCCTGACACCTCCCATCAGCTCCCTCCTGTCCAGTTTCACTCCCCTTAATGCCCTCCTTCCCCTTTCAACTCTGCATTAAAGTGGCGGTGCCCGTCCTGGGGTTCACCTCAGGACAAGCTGCTGGTTGGCTGTGTGGAGTTCCTACCATGTCAGTGAGTTGCCAAATGCAGCCAAGAATAAGATGCCAGATCCGATGACAAACGCAGCTTTCTTCACAGAGTCCCACAGTCCTCCTGGGCCCTCCTGTACAGAAAAACAGCAACAACTGAGCATGAACCGCTCTGTTAAAGTCATGGAACCGTGCAATCTCATGATGTCTCAGCGTGTCCCACTGAAACCTCTATTGGTGTAGAAACATATCTAAGACAACAGAAAGCCTGTTTTTGTAACCAGCTCAGTGTCTTTCCAAGAGGCTGACAGAAATGTGACTTTGAGTGGTTTATGTTTTCATGAGCGTGAAATATTTCGCACCAAGGGAGCGCCGAGAGGTAAAACTATATGTTATAATGGAGAAAGGGTGTCTGGAGAGCAAAATAAATCAGGCAGCAGGAGGGAAACAGTTATGAAACTCTGAAACCTTTGTCTGTCTCAAACACAATATTGCTCAAAGAAACTATGACATTAGACAACACTGTGAGTTTTCTGTTCACCTCTTGTGTATTAAAACTAGTGCAGTTCACAGCTGTATCAAATGAAATGAGATAAACAAAGGAAGCATGAAATGTCTGCTTCCTAAACATACAAATAAAATCTAAGGTTAAACATTGATTCTGTAATTTAACCCTTTGAACCCCAAACCTCCTGAAGGGTCTGAGAGGCATGTTATCTTCTAAAAAGAAAAAAATAAATAAATCACCAATATTACACTATAGTCAGAGCCAGAAACTGCAAAAACTAGAAAGAATTGTTGGATTTGCAAATTTACAGCTTTACAGCTGCCCCTGAACTATTCATTCTATTCTATTCATGTAAGTAAAATATCTAAAGTAAGTATAGTCCCCATATTTTTCCAGTATTGATACCACCTGTGGGCCCTTAAAAAAATGCAGTACGAATTAGTTCTATTTTCTTTTTTAAATGAAATAAATAATCATAAATGAAATCTCCATCTGTTCTTTTAATGATTTATGGCATTATAACTGTATCATACGGCACAAAACATATTTTCGAGTCCTCTCTTCTATAACTTATGGTTGTGCTGTTTCCATATAAGTGCAGGACTGCAGTAAAAAATGAGCCCACAGTGAGTGAAAGTGTGACGGGAGCAAAGAACACCCAGAAACTATTTGGAGTTCAGCGGGTACATGGTCATTTCTGCCCACATGTTGGCAGAGCTCCATATTTCTAAAATATAAATATAAACAAATAAATTTGGCTGCAGGAAATTCAGATAAAAGCGGCTCTTTGTATTGAAAAGTACAATGTGCCAACGTGTCGAACAAATGCACGGCGCATTTAATAAAAAATAAAATATGAGGCAGCAGGGATCAGTTCACTCAGCAGGAATTAAGTCAAGGGATTCGTGTCACAGTCACCAGACTCTCTAAAACGCAGCTTTTACACCGACTGCCCTCGGTCCTGCCATAGCAACTGTTGGAACAATGCTGCTCAAATGTCGCGCTGGTCCCACGACTCAGTTCTCACATTGTTTTTTGGAACACAATCATGCTCTTGCAGAAGCAAAAACACTGCATCCTTGTACATTCATCCTTGTGAGGACATTTATTAACTGCATGTATTACCAGCAGTGTAATTCTAAGTCTGCAAAACCTCCCAGCAGAACACAAACACATGTAGCGCATGTAAGTATGTGCAAGTTCACGACACTCTGATTCTACTTTTCTATTGTTCTGTCTGTGTTATAACAGGAACAGTGACCTCATCTTTGCTGATCCAAACACTTGTTCACATTTTTCACCATCAGGTGCATCTCTTATTTGCTATTGTCTCTTTGCTCCCCGCAGGACTCAGTAAATTTACTCTGCTCGAGAAAAAAAATGCAGCTTGTCAGGTTGAGCCTGTTGCAAAGAACAAAAAGGCAAACAGGACAGTTCCAAGTGGAGCCCCAGTTAAAAGAAGGCAGCCAGGTGGAAACTTTCTCCATGAGACAAGTCAGGTCAAATCCACTTTATATAACAAGTGTTTTAACACAACAACAATGTGCTTTGGAAATCACGCAGGGACCGATGAATATCTACACATAAGTATACAGAAAATTCACATTAATGACAGCAAAATCGCTGATGTGGATTCAGAACACAGATCAGCTAAGAGACACTCAGATTTTTCAAAGGTTTTGTAAATAATATTCCTTTAAATTAAACTCTAAGAAGGATGTTGGACTGAAATGGCAGTAAAAGTGTAATAAGTCTCCTTTTGTGAGTCTTGAGAGGCACGCAGACAAACTTGCTTGTTCACAGACCTTCATCTAAACGTTGCATTTTCACATGAGACAGACCTTGTGTTCATCCACACATGCACAGGTTTTTGTTAAGATGTATCCTTTTCTATGCATTTTGACCTTTCGTCCACATGCAAACGCAGTTGTAGGTCACTGAAAACTGAGCAAATAGGAACTGCGTTTACAGTGTTGATGTATTAACAGAGAAAACTGAACTTTAGGCTTGTGACAGTCAGAGTGTGTATCCTTAACCTACTTTTTGTGCAATCACAAATATGGCCAAAGTGAAGCTAACCTTGCAAAAAGGACATTTTTTTTTTACGTTCACACATAAATGTGCACTTAATTTGCTATACTGAGGAAGAGAGGGGCTAGAATCAGTCCACATATGATTGTTAGCCCATCGGAGCCACTAATAGCTTTCTTTCTGGCTTCGATTAACCAACGTCATCACTGCTGGTTGTTTTGGAGTAACCTGGACAGCACTTCAATCATGTGAATGGAGGCTTTTTTTTTTTTTAGGTAAAAAGTGCTTGCTTTTAAAAACACCTGTGTACATATGGATCGGGCCTCAACCACAGTAGTAAGACTATCCCAGATTTAAAGACCGACATGTCATCTGACTGACATTTACAGGAATTTGTAGGAGGGTTTGTAGCTCCTTGAAGCAGCAGGAGGCAGGTTTCACGAGAGGTTCTACACACCTGAAAGAATCTGTGAACTAATAATAAAATGACAGTACAAGCTGTACGGTGCATTTTAAAAAAAAAAAACAGAGGACCTGTAACATCTGATTCCAGAAGAAAACAAATGGACTTACGTAACAGATCAAGGGTTGTGTCGGTTGTGACTCACTACTCTGTGTTGCTTCTATTGAATGATAACAGCAAGGTGGTTTTGGAGGTGATGTGTTCTTACCTGTCTGCTGCTGCTGCTGCTCGCTGCTTTGCTCATGTCTGTAAACACAACAATCAATGCAAAACATTTATTTGTCTTTCCCATGTAGAATTAGAGCAAGTCAATAAGTAGAGTGAATATCTAAAGGGATCCCACATCATCTATTTCTACAGATTACTTTTTTTTTGTTGTTAAGTAAAAATGATCGTTAGATGGAGGATTTTGGAATGAAACTGATGTACTGTGCCAAAGTGATTAAAGATGATGTGTTCTGTTTTGTTTTGTTTTTTAAAAAAGAAGGTGGCCGAACCACAGCTGGTCTGCAAAATAACAGCATGCATAAAACCTTTTATTTATATTTTGTGAATGTTTGTAAGGGGGAATGTTCCTAGTTTTTTTTTTTTTTGTTAATCTTTTCATGGTACTTTAATCATCTAAGTGCAGTGTAGCCTGGTGCAAAATTTACAGCTGGAGGATTATAACTAATCCTATTATAATCCATCCTTACAGTGTGCACTTTTTCACTCAGATTCTTGGGGATAAACTGCCCTACATGGACTGTTTTTGTCGAAAAACTGTGACAAAAACAAAGCGCAAACATCTAAAAGAGATCTAAAGGCTGCAACTACTGATTTTCTCAATATAAATAAATAAATCTGCGCAATAGTTTGAAGTGTTAAACTGTAAAACATGTGGTGTGTAAAATGTCTATCACAAGTTTGGAGAGCTCTTGAGGACAGAATTGTCTTTTATGTCAATCAAGCAATCCAAATATTCCATTTATTATCATAAAACAGTATGAAAACCCAAAGAATGCTTCACATTTAAAGAGTTAGGACCAGGTTTATTTTGTGCTCTTTGCATAAAAAACTTGTTTAAACATTAATTAATATGATGATTGAAATTTGTTTATACTTACAATAGAAAAGCTGTGTAATCAATTAATAACAATTTAGAAGACAAGAATAGCACAACTGTAACACCAAAAGTGATGAAGTGAAACACCTTTGTAGGAATATTGCAGTTGGTGCTCAACATCACTAGACAATTGATAGTCAGAAACATTTTGATTTTACACATTTTACCTGCTTTCTTTTTTGCTTTTTGCATCTATTTTTGTAACATGAAATGCACTTTGGTCAACTCGGGTCATTTGAAAACTATATAAATTAACTTGATTTGACAAATGATATTGATTTCACCAAGCTACAGCTACAAGCTACGAAAACTATGATGGCTTATGTTATATGACTGTGGAACAAACATTCTTTTTAACCTACATATTATTTAGGGGTTTGTATTGGTTACTGATTAGGCTCAATCAGAAAAATTCAGATCAATACTTAGACTTGAATAGCTTGATGAACTCATCCATGTTGGACAAGTTAACTAAAATTACTTTTTGGTTCATCCATGCATACATGAATTATACAGAATTATCCTTCTGTGTATTAAATCAAGTAAAACAACTGATTGTCATTAATTATATTGATCTCATGAAGCTAAAGCTTCAGAAATGCTAATGATCATTTTAATGACGAGTGTGGAGAAAAAAGCATTTTACTTGCATTTTGTTTAATTTATTTATTGGCTACTGACAAGGCAAAATTTAAAAAAAAAATTCAGATCAGTGTTTGGGCTTGAATAATTTGACATACTCATCCATGCTGGACTTCTTAAAATCTAAATAACTTTTTGGTTCATGCATTCATTTATTATTTATACCCAGTTTTTCTTTTGAGTAGCGAATCCAGCTAAAAGCAACAGGTTGTTGACACTTGTTCACTGTTATTTACATTTATTTATATAACTGACTGAAATTATATGTATTGTAGTCAAGTTATAGGGGCTGCAAAAAAATGGGATTTTCTTCATTACAACTTGCAATTATTATTATATGTCATTTATTTATTTATTTAGTGCTGACTGCAAATTAGACCGAATAAGATTTAAATACAATTCAGTTTAGATTTCGTTCTTTGTGTGAACTGAATTATGTGTATGAATTCACTAAAAAGACCAAGAGATGGTCAATAACAATATTTTAACAACTACTTCAGGTAAGTTAGGAATGCGGACTACAGACACCGTGTAGAGAGAAAACTAGTTTATTTATTTATCAGCATCTCCATCAACTGTGTCCTGAAGTGCAGACAGTCTTTCTGGAGTCAACGTTAAAAAAAAAAAATTAAAACAAACAATTTCAAGAATGCGTGCTTTACTGAAAAAAAAAAAACAAATCAAAAGATACTAAACTGTACTGAGTTTGCCTGAACGCACCAAAAGCCCAAATCCACCGCTTTGTTTTCGGATCATTCCTGCAGTCAGACTCATATCTGAATCGACATACAGCTTTTTACTCTACAAAACCCGACTGAATGGGTGTATGAACGGTGAAATAAAGCTCCGACTCACCGCTGCCTGTCGTCTCCACCGACATGTTTCTGTTCTCGGTCTCCTGCTGCCTGTTTTCATGAGCACAATGCAGCGGTTTATTTACAGCAGCTCGAGACTTCTGATTGGCTGCGTCCTGGTCAGCTGACGTAATCCGTACCCGGAAGTAGCGGTTCCTCCTCTCCCTCCTCCTGGATGTGTTTTCTCCTGCAGTCCACATGATTTATCCAGGTGAAGGTTGAAGCAGAACTCGGAGGATGGTCGCTGCCGTTATTTTGTAACGTGCTGAGAAAAAAAAAAAACATTTTATCACTCTGAAGAATTTGTTCTCAGAGAGCAATAAACATCTAACAGATAACTGTCACAGCCTAAAAGAGATGAGCTTGGATGAAATCATAGAATAGAATAGAATAGAATAGACTGCCTTTATTGTCACTATACACATGTACAATGAGATTAAGAGCAGCTCCTTCAGTGCAACATAGAATAAAGAAAAAAATAAAGAGCAAAAAATAAAATAAAATAAAAATTAAAGAATAAAAGCACTGCAGTGACTTCATCATACATTATAATAAACCAGGGTTGTCAAACTCATTTTAGTTCAGGGGCCACATACAGCCCAATTTGATCTCAAGTGGGTCAAAATCAGAGCAAAATAACCCATAAATAACAAATGTTTCCCTTTGCTTTAGTGCAAAAAAAAAAGAACATTATGAAAACGTTTATATTTTCCATAAAACATTATGAACAACCTGAGATTTCTTAAGAGAAATAAGTGCAATTACAACAATATTATGCCTCAGTTTATTATTTACACATGTGCATTACAACTTACAGATCACAGTGTATCTACAAAGGCACAAAACATTTAGTCACAGGTGTCTGAAACTGATCTGTTTTACTTTATGATCAAAACAGCCTGTCAAGATCTCAAAATTATTTTAAATCTGCATTCATTTCTGTGCCTGTGTCGTAATCCAGACCACCTGAACTGACACCACACCCTACAAACTAAAGTGGGAAGTATTTAGGAATACTTTGCAAAGTCATCCCACAGCCCAGATTGGATCAACCAGAGGGTGGGCCAGTTCTGGCCCCCTGCTTGACACCCCCGTTCTAAACCATTTCAATCAAAAGAGTTTGGGATTTTACATGTCATGTATGTGCTAAATCTCAGCTCGGTCTCGGTCATTGTAATTCTAAATGCTTCAGAAGGCAACTGGACTGCCTTGTGGCTCTGTAACTCACATGTTTTAAGGTGTGAATGGTTGTGAAACTACCTGAAAAGGCATCTTAAGTATCATAAGTACCTGATAAGCTGTGCCATAGACCCCCTCCTCTGTTTAAACTGGCTGTTCCAGTTTAATTTCTCCCTTAAACCATCTGTCCTGTCTATCCAGAATGTGGACATTGCTGTCCTCCAAGGAGTGTCTTTTATGCTTCAGATAAGGTATTTGCAATTCCAATGGAGCCTTCATTAAGTCAGCAAAGCCCTGGAACAAAAAGGTCAACACAAAAGAAGAAGCAGGTGAACAACACTGAGAAACAAATAACCAATATCTCAGTGCTCTTCAGACCCACTACACCATCTGAGACAAAGACTGGTTTTACCCTGAGGATAAAACCCCTAAACGCAACCTGAGCAATGTTGCATATGCAGTGTAATGATGTGAGGAGTGCACAGACCTAAATTTAGGGGAGACTAAGCAACCACTCTACAACAACAAAGGAGAGAGAGTCCTTTGAGGAATGCAACTTTTACATTCTGGACAGAGAGGACAGGTGGAGGAGAGAAGGAAGCCATGCATGTCAATCTGGAACAGCATCTCTAGACAGAGGATGTGGTCTATGATGATGACCTTATCAGGGACTTACAACACAAGGCCCTCCTCTTACAGTTTCACAACCTTCACACCTCAAGGCATGTGAGTCTCGGGCCGTGAGATCCAGAGAACAAACACATGGGACCAGCAGTCAGTCAGAACTGAAGCAGCATGAAACATTGTTAAGAACCAAACAGAAAAGTTCAGGCACCTTCTCCTGAATCACCTATAATTATTGCAACCTGGATGACTAAGAATCTACACTTTGTTATATATATATATATATATGTAAACAAAACAAACAAGCAAATTACTTTTAGTCTTCAGGAAACTGTGGTGGACATTTTTAACAGTTCATTGACACATATGTCCAAATGATTAATTTAAAAATTAAGAAAATGATCAGCAAATTCATCAAAAATGTAAACAATTCCTCTAATCTTGCCTTTTGTTTTAAATGTTGTACCTTACTGCACCTTTTGTCTCTTGCTTCAATACGACTCAAATTTAGTAGCAGACTGTTGTTATCAAACCCAAATGCAGCCGGCAAGGCAAGACTGACACAGGAGTCTAAAATAATAAAAATACACTATAAAAAATATGCAAGCTTTCCAACAGGCTCTGCTCCCACTTAGTCTAATCGAAAATTTCGTGGAATTGCTAACATTCCCAAAGAAACCAAACGTCTTAGGCTGAATTGTAGAGAAACTTGTTTAAAATGGTGTTCAAAAAACTTTGATAGAATAGTGCAGCCATAAAACCAACATGTGTGATGTGCATTGTATTTTATTTATAAAGCATCTACTCCATCCTGTAATATCAGGTGTCTGTATGCCCCACATGTGCACAGTCTGCTCCTGGAAGTCCCTGTGGTGGAACCCACCTGAGGGAAATCAGCACTCACTATCTTTGTACTTCACACATGAACAGGAGTAAATAGTGCAGAACTGTGCTGGGGAATATTTTTATTCAGCTATTTTCAGTCTTATTACATTTTGTGTTTTTGATGTCGTCTAGACAACAATGAAGCTCTGATGCACAGATTATAAGCTATATAAGGTTTTACACAGGCAGCTGAATCAATCAATTGTTGATTCTGATTGTCTTTATATCATTTGTTTACAATAAGAACAATTGAATAAGAATAATTAAACTGAAAAACTTCTATTAACTAACCGCTTACAATAAACTTGAGCTTGGAAAGTCGAGCCTGCGGTTGGAAGTAGTTAAGATAACCTGTGTGACCGCTGCAGCTTTACATCATCAGAACACTGATGACTGAAGGCTGTACAGACACACACATGCACTTTCCTCTAAATGTTCTCAGCAATAACATCACCTGAAGTTATTACTCCCACTCCTTGACCAAGATGACCTTCAGGCCTGTCTGTTGCTGCAACGTGTGGCTCCATTATCGCTCATTATTACCTCACAGGGGGTCAGTGCGCCGTTATCATTATGTAAAATTAGTATGATTTGGAACTCCGCTGGGTAAAAACCACCTTTAATAAACGTGGAATGAGAACTGAAGCACTTAGTGTCCAGAAAACCTTCTCTTATCTCCGTAGACTTGTGGGGGGATTTATCAGTCTTCTTTTATTGTCCAAGACTTTATGTCACATGTTATGAGCTGCACAAATAAAATGGATATGATTGAACAATTGCATCCTTAAGACAACTCTCTTAAAATGCGAAATCCTGATTGGTGCTTTGTCATATTAATTAACTAAAAGTCACATTAAAGCTGTTCCTTTTTCATTTTATTGTCAGATGAGATTTTGTCGGTCATAAGATTTCCTGATGATCATCCTGCATGACTGTGGTTTGTGGTAAATAGATTTTTGTTGTTGTAATGCACAGTCCTGTGGTTATATTCTTCTTTTAGTTAGCAAACAGCTTCAGACAGAAACCCTGATGTGGTCACTGACTCAGACGTGAATCTATATCACCACATTATTATTTCACAAGTCAGCCGACTATCACTTGAAGAATAAACCAATAAGGACTTATGTCACAGCAGGACTTGGAAAAACTTGCTGCTGTGTCTTCACAAAGACCAGAAAAGTGGATCACATCACCCCAGTTCTGAGATCCTTCCACTGGATTTCTGTCAACCAAAGAATTCATTTTAAAATAGTGCTGTTGGTTTATAAAGAATGGTTTATGGGTAAAGCCCATTTCTGATCTGCTTCTCCGCTGTGAACCATCCAGACCGTTTAGCTTATCTGGGACCGGTCTACTTATCTGTTTACCGGTCCAAGCAAAGTACAGAGAGGCAGCTTTCAGTTTTTACGCAGCACATATGGGATACAAACTCCCAAAAAAGTGCAGGTGTGCTGCAGCTCTCAGCTCTGACAAATCAAGGCTGAAGACTCTTTACTGTCTATGTTAACTCATTAAAAAAAAAATAATAATAAAATAAAATCTGTTTAACTCTTTTAATCATGTAGACATGCTTTTATTGATATTTTTATTACTTTATGTTCCTTTTCAATTGCCTCATTGCTGAAATGTGCGGCACAAACAAACTTTTATAATCAAGTATTAAAAAGACAGGTTCATATGTTTTATTTTTCTGTTATTTTCTATTTTTAGGAGTGGCAATAAGAGTATATACAGTATATTGGGGCGTTTGTTGTACAATGCAACTCCTTTTTCGATGTGTGCATGTTAAAACAAGACAAAAAACATAGAAAATGTAAGTGTACATCAAAAGTGGAGGCCAAATAATTTCACGTTAAATGCGGTTACACAGATAGCAACTTTGTAATTTGTAGAGTTTTATATCCATTTTTATCCATTAGTTGTGATCTGACCCGTCTGGTTTTGATCCAGTCTGCTGAGTGACTAAATGTTTCCACGCAGATACAAACCTGTGCATCTGTATGACACCTGCAAGCACAGCAGAGTTCATAGGTCTGCATAAAGTACAGCTCTAGTGTGACCTCTGCTGAGAGGCTGCTGTTACTGCATCAGTGTGCTGCTGGGTTCCAACACACATCTGTCACATGTGGTTCCTTCAGACACACTGTGTTTGGAAAAAAAACATATTATTTATCATGAACCATTTCACAGTTTGGATGTTTGTGTTTTTCTGGAGTAAAGTGTAGTCATATACACAAAGGAGCACATTCATTTCTACAGGAAGTTGAGTTCATATGAATTCATTATGCACAGGAATGTAACTGATTTGAAGAGTTAAATGTGACATTAGGAAATACATTGAAGTTTCTAGTTGGGGTAGATTTACTAAATGTATGCAATCTC